ATGTTAAAAACGTCCTTTTTCAAGAGAAATTAGGACAATTTAGTGTAAGTAATAATTCTTTGAAAAATCAATTTTAGACAAAAAAAAAAAAAAAACAGTTTTTTCAAAAGTAGGTACACATTATAGTTATAGTTTGTATAATAAAATATTGAGTTATTATGATTGAGCTATTATTAATATTATAAGATTATTATTATTGAGATATTATGAATATTTGTGTAATATTAGGCATAACTTTTATAGAAAGATTACACAATTATTATTTTACATTATTGAAATGTGTAAACCTTGGGAAACCTTTTATAATTTATTTATTTTTCTATGCTATTATTAATTATTATTGTTTATTATTGAAATAATAGTATTATGATAGCTTAGCTGTATTATTTAACTAGCTGAATTACCCGGCGTTGCCCGGAAACAAATTCGTGACAAATTAGATAACGCCATGTATTAGCATTTGCCGTCTTAAATTCATAATTATCAATAATATACATAATAACCTAACTTAATTAAAACTGTGTGACAATTGGATAAGAAGTTTCGAAGCCAAACCGTAACAAAAATTTCCTCTTTTGCTTGATTTCAGTTTTACGCACGTCCAAACTGCTGGTAGTGCGGAGTGCAAATGAAATGAACGTTGAATATTTTATGTGTTACGAAAGTCCAAATTAATTCTATAAATAGAATTTGTATGTTTATTGGTTTATGTTATCGGTGTGCATTTTATCGTTCGTTATAATAAAATAGGAGTATTGGTGTACGCGCGATGCATGAGATTATTTTTATCGATAAACTTCTCGGAACAATTATTCTTATCTACACGACNCGCGGGCCGCCGTGCCGCACAATACGTATTGGCGGTGAATAACTATAATTGTTAATTACTCAACTAAAACGCAACATTTTTGAAAATCCCTCCTTATTGCACGGTGAAAATATGAGAAGAACCTATATTCCAAATTTCAAGTCCGTACGTTACGTAGTTTTTGAGATATAGCGATTAGTCAGTCAGTGGTATTTGGATTTTATATGTATAGATAGACCTAATTCGTCGATGATTTTGCTCGATAACGTAGATACAAAAGTGGTTTGGTAGTTATAACTCCCTCCCACATCTGAAAACTAAACGAAAAAATACTTTTAAACGGTCTTTTAATACGTTGGATAAAAAGCCTAGGGCTGTGATCCTATATACACTTAGGTACACAATTTGTGTTCTTCTGAGTATTAATAATCGATCATCTATTATTTTATAATAAAATTAATAACCATAACCACGGAAAGCGAAAGAAACAGACACAAATTAAACACATACAAAACCTAATAGCGAAATTATTATTGAATAATAGGTATATTTAATTAATCTTCACGTCACACTATCGAAAACATATTACTGACAAACACTTTATTTTATATTATTATTATCATATTATTACCTTATGCGTTGATAACCTTATATCATTAGATATACTAATTGTTGAGCAGTAAGCATTATTTAAATATTTAATTAGACATCAATATTTGCTTATTTATATTGAAATAATAAGAGAGACGAGACGTATTCGAATACCTACATTAAAATTACACGATGCTTATTTACAAATTGTTCAACAGTGAAAATATTTCAGACCGCCGTTCTATTATAATACACCTATGTATACAAAAAATTGAAAAAAACCAAGTTTTGGATTATTAAAATTTAAAAATTAGGTAAATTATTAAGGTAAAAAAAATGACGTCCTAGGATAATGGGAACGGGTGCAGCCACTTTTATAGGTAATTTAATGTATATCTGTAAACAACGATATAAACCATTGCTTACGAAAAAACGATTCTGAGCGGAGTTCAGTTGATAGTGATGCTTTGTCAACAATATATATGTCATATTAAAGTAAAATAATTAAATAGGCTCTATATATTTTCTTTAATAATATTTGTTCAATGTTGTACCGACTTTCCCAGTTTTTCACATTTACTGAGAAAACTACGGGGAAAATGGAAAATTAATCTCCCTAAAGTACCTCCCCACACCAACTTCCTTTCACAAAAGGTGCTACACGTACACAACTAAGCAAGTCTTTTGTTAGAAAATTTGCACACAAATAAAAAAATTAATAAATAATAAACATCTTTGTAAAACCATAAGCTTCTTCGCTCCACTTAAAATCCAAAGACGAACATACTTCACACAAGTTAGCGCTGTTTTAGGTGAGAAATAATTGGATAGATAGGATAAAGAGGAGAATTTAATTTATACCTATAAGCAACGATAAACGATTCGGAGTAGAGTTCGGTTATATGTGTTTTGATAGGATGTACTTAATACTTACGACTTTTGTCAAAATTTAGATAAAAATAAACAATGCATTACTTAAATTTTTTTTTGACCATAAAGTATGACTTACTGTGACCCTTCTGTTGAATTTTCAAGCATGTGTGTTTTATCGAACAATTTTATCCACAGAATACCTACCAAACAAAAATAACGTAAAAATCTCTGAAAATTAAAATATCTATACAGTTCAAAAATATTTTGAAAATTTTACATCTATAAAAAACTAATATTAATTTTTTTTTTAAATTTCAAGTATACGAATATATCCAACTTTATTACAACCAAAAATAGACGGACATACTTTACCCTTGGGTGGGCCACTGTTGTAGGTGGGAAGTTGGGAAGGTTATTCTATACATAATTTTTAATACGTCATTACGTACATAAATTTGTTTAATTTATATTTGTATGCAAAGATAATCTGTTGCTTATAAAAAATGATTCGCGCAGTTCGGTTGGACATATTTTTAAATGTCACATTAAATTTTATAAATTTCGTCAAAATTTTATCTTAGAACAATTAAGAAAATAAATTAGTTAAAGCATCGAACTCAAATTTATTTATTTATAGAGACCACTAATTACAACTTATAATATACTTTGTCTTAAATGTTCAATCATTTTTTTTAAGTCAACTATATTTAATAACAGATACCTACCAAATAAAAATACATATAAAACACGAAAATACTTATAAATAGTCTAAAATTACTAGAGTTTTTTTAAAATTTGACCATGTTTACAAAAGGCCAATACGAGTATTTTGTGAAAACTACAGGTCTCTACAATAATTTTTAACCAAATAGCAACAAAAAAACTAAATGCCGTACACTTTGCCACATTGCCTTCGTTTTTTCCTGATTTTTCGTAATTATTAGGAAAACTATATGGGAAATCAAACAACTACTTTCTTATTCATAAATTAGACAACATTTTCTTTTAGAAAATATGCTATTTTTATATTATCTACTCTTATTTTTCTTGTACAAAAATATTCTTGTAGAAAAATATAATCCTAAACATAAACCTAAAAAGATCGAACGTTCTCAATTGTAATGTAATCGGAAAATTAAAATACGACTTTCTTCGTGAGCAACTAAATCTAAAATACAAAAAAAAATTCTTGTTTCAAACCTAAAAATTATAAAATATTATAAGCTATGTATATATTACCATATTTATATATATACCATATATATATATTGCAATACCTATATTAAAATACCAAAGACAAAATGTACCTAAATTTATGTTTTACGTTGGTTACTGTGGGTTTTGTTCGCTAACCGAAAAAATGGCAACATTGTGATTCGTTTTGATGGCTGTAGTTTTTGTTTATTGTACTAATATTATAGTGTAGTACTGTGAAGGATGACGATCGGTTCCATGGGAAATATAAACGACACGTGGTCCGCCATACTATAGAATTCTGTTGTGTGTATTTGCTGTTGGTATACTATACGAGTATAAGAGGGGCAAGGGTCATAATATCCGAAGCGAGGGGTCCGTCCCGATTATATTGTATCTTACAGGGTGTACCTTGGTTAAAACATTCCGTGTGGTATTGTTAAACGCTATAGTTTCATACACAAACACTTGTGATACACCCTGTATTTGTGTACGTCAGTAACGAGTAACGACGACGCCAGGCGATTCGGTTGTTATACAGACGGCCTACAGTACGGATAACGCATATTCGTGTCGTTAAGAAATATTATTTTTATGTTCGGTTCCCTGAATAAAATCAAAATATTTAAATTCTCGTACAACAATATAGATTTTAATTAATTTCAGCGCGTAATGGAAATATGAAATACATTATTTTCCATAACTATATTACATAGAGTCGTCGAAATATAGAACAATATGAAAAAAAAAAATAATAATATAAAAACACATATAAAAAAATGTTACATTGAGTAGAATCAAACCTTATTAATGATTGTTTATAATCACTTATTGCGGGTTTTTTTTACACAATTGATCAGAATAATATTCTCTTACACAGTTTCTACTAAACGATCTTTGTGAAAGGTTAGATTTTTAATGCATCTCTTTTTTATCAATTTTGTATTGAATTCTTTAGTAATAATAGTTATAATATTTTAGCCCATGTGATTTTTAGAGTCTGTTAATGGGATAAACTGGTTTTCACTAAGATCCAATTATTATATTTTTATTTTTATTTACAATAATACAATATCATTAGATTATAGCGCCGTCTTCGTATTACGAAACGTCCATCAACCGCCGTGCACCGCTGCTATAAAAACAGGCTTTCGTCGGAAAGATATAGGTACCTGTACTTTTAAAAAGTCGACTTGTGTAACCAAACATACCAATCATATAAATTATGCCTACAGTATGAGGAACAGAGAACATTTAAACATACCTACTTGAATAATACAGAAAGGTGAAAAAAAACGCCCCGTTATAGCTACGGAATAACTGAAAAAAAAAAACACGTATTTCCCTCTCTCCTCTACACATTTTTGTTACTTAAAAATCATGATCGTTTGGGGAGCTATAGTTATATCTCATATAACGTATACGCCATAATAATATATAGTTTGTCTCTACCACTCCCCCACTACTTATCTCTCTGTACGATAGCGTTCTGTGTTATTCGTTTAGAGTGTTCTGTAGTCAGTACTGCCACAACCTACCGTCGACCAGGTGTTCGAGTCCTATAGTATTTTCGTCTGCATACAAACATTCCAGACAGTAATCTACAACAAGATGTCCGGCAACATCGGCGACATGTCTATCGAGGAGATAAGAAAATTACCCAAGAATATATTACGCATAACATCTAAAATGAGCAATGGGTAATTTTTAAGTCAATAATTACATTATATTATTATATTATGCTATTTAAATATTATTATTAATAATAGTTTAATGACGTACCTGATATAGTAATATGTAATAATTTATTACAAATATCATATAACAAAATATAGCAATAAATATGCATGTTAAACATTTTAAAACAATATGTAACTATATGAGTTAAAATATTCAAGGTTTGTGTTCGAGGTGAGCTCAGTCAAAAAAAAACCAAACAAGTTGTACCTAATTAAAATATTATAGATTATAGTGTTAAATATAAAAACTAAATAGTATATTTGAATTACTTTATTTACATAATATACGACCAAACACGATATACAACGAAGTATGCAATGGGTATATCAATCTCCTGACATAATTAAGATAATTAAATTTTGTCTTAGAAATACTAAGTGGAGCAAAAAACATAGAAAAATAGGTACAATATTAAACAAATATTACTAAAGAAAATATATAATGCATATTTAATTATTTAACTATAATATGACATAGATATTATTGAAAAAGCAACACTATCAACCAAACTCCGCTCAGAATCGTTTTCTCGTTAATAATGGTTAATCGATTTTTTTTTATGTCTCAAAAAATTATATTTTCCTTTTCTAAACGTGGTAAAACGTTCAAAACATTTAAGCCATTTTTGAGCTATTTATTGACATTTTAATTTTGAGAGTTTTTTACGTAATTTATATTCGGTAGATACTCTGTGGATAAAATTAAAAACTAAACAAAAATGCATGTTAATTTAACATAAAGTTCATTATAAGCTGTAGTTATAGTGGTAAAAAAAAAAAAGTTGTCCTAAGATAATGGGGAAGGATGCAGCTACTGTTATAGATAATTTAATGTATATCTATTACCAATGATTAACTATTGCTAACGGAAAATCGATTCTGAGCGGAGTTCAGGTGATAGTGTAGTAGATTTGTCAATAATATGTACCTATAATATCATAATCAAATAATTACATAGGCAATATATATTTTCCAAAAAATATTTTTTGAATATTATACCTATTTTCCTATTTTCCTATGGTTTTTCCATGGTCTTTTCCGGATTTCCCATTTATTAAAATTATATAAAACTAGTCAAAATCAAAAAATAGCAAAAAAATCAAAAAAAATTGGTATCATTATAAATTGGAGCAAAATTGCTGTTAGAAAAATTGTTCACAGAAAAAAAATCGTAATATTTTCGTAATAAATTTTGTAATTTTCCCATTTTTCCTCCATTTTTTTCGGTTTTCTACATTTATTTAGAAAATTCTTGAGAAAATTAAAAAATTATTACTTTAAAGAACCTCAGATCACCTTTCAGAAAAAGTGCTATTATATAAATCAGAGCAAAATTGCTGGTAAGAAAGTTGAGCACAAAAAAAAAAAAAGCCCGTAATAATTTTAACCAATACCTACATTTCGTACATTTTTCCGTTTTTCTTCAATTTTTTTTTCGCATTTTTGCATTTGATGAGAAAATCGTAAAATAACCTCCTCAATAAGTACTAATAATACCTACATAAATTTCCTTTCAGAAAAGATGTAAACTAAAACAAATTGCGAACAGATAAAAAAAAAAAATTAACATCTTTAGAAAACAAAAGAATTGAATTGAAAACGTTTATTTAAATGCATAAATAAACCAATTTTATATTAATATCCATGATTTGTCGATTATAATCATATCTAAGAATCAGTTCTGGTAGTTGAAAAATTATATATAATATAATAAGTCAAACTCGTAAAATCATAGTTTTTATATAAGTTTGAACAAAATGTATTTTTATTAAAACCTCTAACCTATTTTAGAATGATTAATTAAATTAGTTAAATTAAGAGAGGTCATTTTTTTTGATTTTTCTCAAGAGTTTTCCCAGCAAATGTGAAAAACAGTGAAAAAACATAGGAAAACCGGGATAAACGTAGAAAAATCAGTACTATACTAAACAAATATTACTAAAGATTAAAGAAAATACATAATGTTTATTTAATTATTTTATCCAAAGTTGGTAATATATGCGTATAAAATGTTTTAGACATTACACGTTTAATAAAAAGTATAAAATGACTAAAACGTATAAAACTTTATTACGACTAAGACATTTTTTTTTTTGTGTTTATTATAATAGTGATACTGTACATTTTAAATTTTATAAGTATTTAAACTTATACATGTATACAACAAATTAATAAATCATATAAACTTAGTGAATGTTCTTAAATTAGAATAAAATAAAAATAAAACAATTTTTTTTTGGTATTATAAATATTAATGTAGCTAATAAAGATTAACTAAAGATAAACTTAGTGATTAGCATAACATTTAACACTTATGTTTTAGGTAATTAATATAAGATATATAAAATCATGATTGAATTCAATTGAAAATTATTTTACATGATGATTTCTGTTCAATTGTTCAATGTCAAAACTAAAAAAAAAATTGTATACAGTATAAAACGTATACAACTAATTTTATACATACATTTAATACGTATTTTATGCTATACTATATTATACATTCTAACCCTGATTTTACTATTATATGACATATATATTATTGAAAAAGCATTACTATCAACTGAACTTTGCTCAGAATCGTTTTTAGTAAACAATGGTTTATCGTTGTTAACAGATACAAATTAATTTGCCTTCTAAATATCCTACCTTCCCAACTTCTCACCAACAATAGTGGCTAAACCCATTCTCATTATCCTATGACATCTTTTTTTTTTTTTTTTGATTTTAAATTTTGAAAGTATATTTTATTGCTACTTTTGAATAATAAAAATTATTAAAATAATAAATTACTGGCAATATCGTGTCGGGTTGGGCCAAATGTAATTTTTCATATTTTCACGTTGAAGGCGAAATTTTTTATTAATACATGTTTCTTTCGGTAGTTTAACTACCGAAAATATATTTTAATTTTAGTAATTTACCTTAGAACTGAAATACCAATATTTTACGAGTGTAATAGTTGATGTCGTTTGCAATTTATTACAATGTGTGGAAGCGGTTCAGAAAATTCGAAACAAATGCCAGAGTTGACGTGTGTGGAGCAAAACTTTCGGTTTTGACATAATAATATTGTGCAAGGATAATTTAATAATGGGTAAATACCATTATATAAATCGCACAACTTTGTATTACATATTATATAAAATGTACTCGACAGCTCCATAAGCGTGTTACTTTTCCCGAGAAATCGGGAACATAATGTGGCAATTCCCAAGAGGAACGAACATGTATTTTAAAACCAAATTTCTTGTGTGCAAATATAATATGAGTATTCCTACAGAGTACAGGATAAGAAGGGTTTCTATTCCCCGGAGAATCCTCTTCCCGAAACAAGAAAGAAATCGCTTTCAAAAAAGGAACCCCTTTCCAAGACCTCTCTACCACTGCCATTATCCCTTGGTATAATTATGGGTATAAAGTAAATATATAATTTTTTAAATAGAAAGTTAAGTGACTGCAGAAGTTTAATAGTTTGTTCGTTCGTAAGTTTAGATTATATTATTTATAATGTTGAAACTGTCGAAATAGCCTTTCTACAGATCATTTCCTCCCCTAGCCCGATTATTTCTGTTTTGTATCGTGGTTGCAGTGAAATTTATTTACCAAGTACCCATAACTATATAAACTATTATCACAAATACTGGGAATTTCTAGTTTTCACCGCTAATCGTTAAAAATATCGTTTTAAATTGTAATGTTGAAATTTTTTATTTCCGTCGATCTATTTAAAAGATCTATTACCAAATTTAAAAGTGGAATATCTCATCAATAAATCGACGGAAATCAAAAATTTCAACATTATAATTTATTTTAACTTATACTCCATCTATTAATGGAATTTTTAATATAGTTTGTCATTTTAAAATCAAAAGTAGGTAATATTTTTACCGCCGAAAAAAAGGGTGAAAAAAAAATAACATAAATATTAAATTTTAGAGCAGCTTGCTTCTTAAATGTTTTAGAAAACAAATTCCCAAAAAAGTTAATATTTTTTGAGATAATGAGTGTACCTGCTTAAATAGATCAACTAGTATAGAAACTTTATTGCAGAATTTTTCATCTGCTTAGTACATTGAGGAGGTAATTTTTTTGATTTGCCTAGTAGTTTTCTTAATAAATGGGAAAAATTGACCCCAAATTCTCTGCTCAAAATCGTTTTATTATGAATGATTTGTCATTGTATACAACTATAAATTGAATTACTCTATATATCTTCCCTTCTAACTCCTTTCCTTAAGCAGTAGCACACCAATTAATAATATCAACCTTATATAACTATTATTTCTCACAAATAAATAAATTACTATTAAAAAAGATTTATCTAATTTCTAAATGATTTAATTAATATTAATTTAATTCTCATTTATCTAGATGAGATGATATGATATGATAAAAAAATATACCTACTTGGATGAAACACAATACGGGACACGAGCTATAATCGTATGATATAGACATTCGTTGGTTCATCATCACCACGTGATGAATATTAGCCATTTTATAATTTGGTTATAATTATTTTATTATATAGTTCTCTGTTATTTTTATCTTTGCATGACGATCCCAAATAATAATGCACAAAAATTAATAAATAACAAAATATTTAAAAATTGCGATAACATATCGGTCATGGTTAGATTTTAAGCTAAAAATTTGAAAAAAATGTATGCTTTTGGGAACTTTTAATTTTTTTTTGCTTATCTATTATTAAATATTTTGGTGCGAAAACGGTGTACATTTTGTTACAAGTGAACAAATGATGCGTAAATATATATAACCCAAAAATTAAACGGTGCGCAAATGTCTTATAAAAAAAGGTCAAGTTGTTTAGTGTAAACTTCTTAAAACGCGTTTAGTGTTATCTCCACAGTCAAAACTCATACGTGTTCATGGCCTACAGATGTCTTCGAATAGTTACCTCTGTCGAAAGATATTGTGGTGACGGCTTCTGGTCGCGTATTTTGTCACGTCACTCGTTATTTTAAGGCCGTAGCGAAGAGACAATTTCGACAGTTCGATACCCTACGTGCAGAGCATAATATTATTATCACCTGGATAAATGTGAATGCATCTGTCCACCGTATAACCTCTATCAAATAATGAATTTCCAACCCTAATTCAGTGGTACGCACCCCAGAACCAAATTAAAACCCTTATTACGAGGGTTCCGGATACAATAAACTATATCGCGGTTTCCGGCCCCAACTCTCAAAACGTTACTGATTATTATTATTATATTTTTTAATAATAAAACAAAATTTGTTTTTTATATAACGGTTGCTAATAACGCTGAAGGCTGTAATATTATTTAACAACGTTTTCCAATCTCGATTTGCCCGTCAACTCCTGCAACAGTAATAATAGCTAGTAAGTTTTCGTTCGCGATCTCGACGTAATCCCCGCACCGCGCTCATCGACCGTTGGTATTTCGCGCCGACGCCCTCTGACTGCGGCTACAGCCAATAATCGGTAAGCTGCTGGCGAGCGAGCGCGAAACTCTTACAGGTTAAAGCGGATTCTCAGCGAAAATGGCGCATATTCAACGGAAGTATGGTGGGAGGTGGCAGATCGATACACGACCAACACAATAATAATATGATTTGTACAACGACGAGAATGACGACGATCCGAAAACATTGAAAAATACCGCGAGTTTAATAACGGAAACAGCGCGTGTTTGTTAGACGTGACTGTGTGGGATGTAGAGAAAGATGATATTTTGTTATGTCTTTTAGCTTTATAGCCGCTAAAAATGTGTGCACGGTGTGAATATACTATCGAATCGCCAAACACAATAAAATTATTATAATTCCAACGAAATAAAAATTGCACGATAAATAATTATTGATGATGGAAGAAAAGTCTATATGAATGAAATTCCGGCGAAAAAAAGTCTGAAAACGAAAAGTATCAGAAATACTTTAATTTTATAAAAAATACTAAACAAAATACTGAATGTTTATGAGTTTAAATAATATACGAGTACGTTAATTTTAGATTCATATAGGTACCTATACTTACCTAATTTTAATAATTGTGCATTAAATGAAATCAGTTAAATAAAATATATTATTATAACATAAAAACCCACGGTAAACCAATGATAACGAAAAACAATTCCCATGAACTAGTAACTAAATTGGTTTCACATAATTTTTTACTCAAATGATTTTCGTCAAAATTTGATATTTAAATTCCTTTATAAAACAAAATACTTTAAAAAGCTCATTTTTTTTTTTTTTTTACTACAAAGTACGACATTTCAAATTAAATATTCAAGCATTTCTGTTCAGTCTTACAATTTTATCCACAGAATACCTAACGAAAAAAAATTACGTAAAAACTAGCAAAATTAAAATGTCTATAATTAGCTCAAAATGGATCAAATGTTTAGAAAATTTTACCTACCATGTTTAGAAAAAGCAAATATAATTTTTCTGTCAAAATTTCAAGTCTTTGTGAATATACAAAACTAAATTATATTAAAAAAAAATGATAAACATATTTCGGACGTGGGTGCAGCAACTATTGTAAGTGAGAAGTTGGGAAAATAAGATATAAATGGGAATTCAATCTGAAAGCAACGATAAACCATTGCTAACGAAAAACAATTCTGAGTGAAATTCAGTTGGTAGTGTTACTTTGTCAACAATATATATTTCATATTATGGTAAAATGATTACAGCAATGTACGTTTCCATGATAACAATAATTAATTTAAAAAAAACTTAATAATAACAAAAAATAAATAAAAACAGTTGCCAATGTCAACTTTATTTTTAATCTTCCAATCTTTTTGTAAAACCTAGTTTTCTTAATTTTCTTGAATATTAAAAAGAATTTCAAAAAATCAGAGTTTGGCTTGTCATACCCAAAGCTTACAAACATTTTTTTACAATGTACCTAACATTATTTTTGAGCCAAAGGCACATTTGTTTAAAAAAGATTTAAAATATAAAATAATAAAAACTTAATAATAACAAAAAATAAATAAAAAAAAGTTGTCAATGACAACCTTATTTTTAATCTTATAATATTGTTTAACCTGAAGAACCAGGTTTTCATCATTATCTTGAATATTAAAGAGAATTTTAAAAATTTAGCTGTTTAAAATACTATCCAGAAAACATTTTTTTTCATAAAAGGTGCTATACTTAATAATCGAAGTAAGCTTTCTAGCAGAAAAATTAATTACATAAAAAAAAAAAATTAAAAACATAAAATCATTGTAAAATCAATACATCCTTTATTCCACTCAGAATCTAAAAATATCTCGAATACTATTTCCTTTTCATTAATTGTAATTTTCAATTTACCCTTAGCATCTGGCGTATATCCTGAATTATTAAAAATTGTATGTAACAATTATCTTTCTCTTTCTTTATCTCTATCACTTTATAAACTATTGGAAAATTTTTTTATGGATGGAATAGTATTTTTAATTATCTATTTTAACTTCAAATTTTGACAAAAATCACGGCATTTCAAAATAATCGAACATCACTACGAATCGTATTTAATTAGTATTAATTTATCGTTGCGTTTATGTATAAATTAAATATCGGTATGTATTCTACATTCTCAATATTTCACCTACAACAGTAGCACGCTAATTATCCGTATCAGCTCTTTTCTGGCTTCTTTTTTTTATATTCATATACTACATAGTTACATTATATTTATTAATTGAGCTATACAATGAATACAAATTAATATATTTTTTAGTCATTCTAAAATTGTCTTTTATAATTTTAATGAATTTAAAAAAATAAAATTCAATATTTATAGTTATAAATTGAACACTATTTCTTTCTACAATAATTCTAGTATGTAGGTCTATGTGGTCTATATTATAATAACCGATAAATTGTATAAAATGTAAATTATTATTGTTATTTTTTTTTCAGGTCTGCGGGATTGTTAATCTCCTCTCATGCACTTGCATCGATTAGAGGACCCACTGCACAACTCGTGGATCCTTTAAATCCAGAGTCAACAATTTCTAATAGACCAATATATATCTCAAATGAGCACCTACAAACTATGTCAACCGAATTCCGTTCTATGCGCCGCAATCATGAATTATGTGATGTTGTTCTCAATATTAACAATAGAGAAGTATTTGCCCACCGTATTATTTTATCGGCGTGTAGTCCTTACTTCAGAGCCATGTTTCAAGGGAAACACGGTGAACCTAAAAAAAAAAAAGTTGTATTTTTTGGATTGAATGAAATAGGTATAGCTATACAACTGTTAATAGAGTATTGTTATTCTTCTGGAATCAGAATTGAAGAATCTAATGTTCAAAATCTACTTTCGGCTGCTTGTCTGCTACAAATGAATGAAATAAAGCAACTCTGCTGTAAGTTTTTGAAAAGCCAACTTAATTCATCTACTTGTCTTGGCATCAAAGCATTTGCTGAAAAACATTATTGTTTTCAGTTATCAAATGAAGCCAATAAATATGCTCTTAAAAATTTTCAAGAAGTCGTTGAGAGCAAGGAATTTCTTCTACTTCCTATTTCAGAGCTTATTGATTTCATTTCCAGTGATGAACTCATTGTAAAAACAGAAGAACAAGTATTTAGCGCAACAATGTCTTGGGTCAAATATAAACCTGAGCGACGACAAAGTCTTTCAAAAGTACTTCAACACGTCCGATTACCTTTAATAAATCCTAAGTTCTTAATCCGTACAGTTGCAAGTGATAGATTAATAAGAAGTGACGAAGAATGTAAAAGTCTTATTGATGAAGCTAAAGACTACTTACTTTTACCAGAAGAACGGTCTTTAATACAAGGACCTCGAACTAGACATCGAATACCTACTCGAAAAGGAGAGCTTTTATTTGTTGCTGGAGGTTTAACCGTATTCTCAACACTAGATTCATGTGGCCTTTATGATATAGTAACAAAAGATTGGAAAGAGATTGCACCAATGTTTAAAGAAAACCGGTCATTAAAAGTTGCTGTACTTAATGATTCAATTTATATAATTGGCAAAAATGACGATCAGCTTAATGATAGTAGTATTGAACGATTCAATCCACAAACCAATCGATGGTTTAAAGATGTGCCTCCTCTAATTACAAACCGTGTGTTTATGGGAGTTGCTGTTTTAGACGGTTATTTGTACATAGTCGGTGGGTTATTAAATAAAAAACCAATTAATAATGTTGAACGTTATGATCCGAAGGAAAATAAGTGGAGTATAGTGGCACCAATGACAACAGCACGATGTTCTGTTGGAGCTGTCGCTTTAGGTGATTATTTGTACGCAATCGGTGGCCTAGAAAATGTGTCAACATTGGCATCTGTTGAACGTTACGATCCAAGAATGAACAAATGGACAGTAATTGCCCCAATGTCAGAAAGAAGGAGACACTTAGGATGTGCTGCTTATAATAATATGATATACGCAGTTGGAGGCCATAGCGAAAATCCATCCAGCATTGCCAAGGTTTTGAAAAGTGTTGAGAGATATAATCCACTAACAAATTCGTGGTCTCCAATTGCACCAATTTCAACTCGGAGAGCTTTTTTAAATTTAGCAGTAGTTAACGGAAAATTGTACGCTGTCGGTGGAAGGAATACAAGAGTATCGACAAATATTATTGAGGAATATGATGAGATCCAAAATCAATGGCGTTTATGTGGAACACTGAATGGTCGATTTGAAATGGGCATTGGAGTTATCAGGTCACCATAAACCGATAACAATTATATAATTATTATACTAAGAGACAATATTTTTTAATTTCATTTTTGATATTTTAATAATTTAGATTCATTAATTTCTAACTAAATCTTAAATTGGAATTTATATTTTAGTTTTTTGTAAAGGTACATTGATAGTGAAGCACAACAGTAACTTAAATAATATATTATTAATTAAAACCAATTATAATTATAGTTTATAATATAATAATAAATATAAATATTATATATTATTATAATTATTATTATTATTACATGAAATATACCAAGATACAATTTTTTATTAAAATTAGATATTAATTATAATAATACATAAAACATCTCAAATAACTATTCCAAACATTAGCTCTAAAATACTCAAATATCAATATTCCATACTCCTACTAAAAAATAAACACTACAATTTTGAACTATAGTGAATTTAATTAAAATATATTATTTAAGTCGTATCGTAGACATTGGACATCCAATTTAGAAAAATACTTTAAAAATATATTAATATTTGTGAAAAAAATATGTTTCATTATACATAGAAGATAATAAATCATAAATTTAGTTATTTATACAAATATTATTCATTAACAATTATACTACAATAATAATATCCAATATTTTATGAAATAATTAATAACATATTATAATCTATTATTTAAAATGTAAACTAATTTGTCATACAGAATTTAAAATTAATATTTTTCTAGACAGAGTAAAATTTTCAAAACATTCAAGCTATAATTCAGTTATTTATAGACATTTTAATTTGACCATGGTTTTATGAAATTTTTATTTGGTAGGTACTCCGTGGATAAAATTGTTAGACTAAATAGAAATTCTTAGAAATTTGACAGGAGGTGCATTATAAATCATACTTAGGATCATTTTCATGAACATAAACGCTTTCGTTTATCTGATTTTTAAAATAACCAACCAATCATGGTCGGTTATCGGTAGTACCCGGATTTATATGCTCATAAAATCTTGGAAATATGAGCTACAAGATATTCATTTATGCTCTTATTTTGTAGAAATATACCCTTTAAAATGAAAAATGCACAAAAATTGATTACCAAAAAAAAAAATTGTTTTTAATTTTTGTTATTTCCGTCTTTAATTTTAATGTAGGTTAGGTAGCATAGAATTGATCACTCAATCTTTCAAAGATTTATTTGTAATGGTTTTCAATTTGAAGGATGAGTTCAGGAATATATATCTCCCCCTTGACATTTTTTTAGGGGTTATAATAATAATATTTCAATGTTAATTTTAGAGTTGATTAAATTAAAAAATAGGTACTTACAAAAAATATATAAATTCAAAATTGAATCTTTTTTTGTTTTGGCCTAGATGTCATAATAGTGTTACACCATGTGGTATACATATTATACAATATATTTAAAAATTCAATATCTCCCTCCTTGGCGAAAACCTAAAAATGAATAAATAATAATATAAAATACGTATACAAGAATAATAACTAAGTATACACGTTTCTATAAACGTACACCCGCGTTTCAAGTAAAAAGTTTTAAGTACACGCATTGTCAAAAACCAAGAAGTATATTCTTTATACCCGCGTATACGCTCGACACCACTGCAAATATGTATTATTATTTTTGCTGTTAATTTCCATGGCTGTTCCCGGTACCGCATACACTAACGCGAAGGTTAAAAGAATATATAGCTTGTAAATAACAAAACTGATTCGTTGACTATCATAATCGTTAATAATTTTGTTATCTGAACTTGTCTCCTGTTTTAGATTCTGAATGTAGTGAAGAATGTATTGGTTTTACAATGATGTTTAATTTTTTTTTTATGTAAACTTTTTTTTTTACCAGAAAGCATACTCCGATGTTTACGATGTAGAACCTTTTATGAAAGGAAATTTTTGATTGTGGTAGTTTTTTGATTTTCTCAGGAATTTTCTTATTAAGTTTAAAAAACCAAAAAACACAGAGGAAAAAAGGGAAAATGTACAAAATATATTAGTAAAATATTACAGATTTTTTTTTTTCCTATGGACAACTTTCCTACCAGTAATTTTTTTCCGATTTACAATGATAGCACTTTTCCTAAAAAGAAATCTGACTGGGAAGGTACTTAAAGGAGATTATTTTTCGAATTTTCCCAAGAGTTTTCCCAGAAAATGAGAAAACCCGAGAAAAACTTGGAAAAACTGTGTAAAATATAGAAAAACTGGAAAATTTGTACAATATTAAACAAATATTATTAAAGAAAATATAAAATGCCTATTAAATTATTTTACCATAATATGACATATGACATATTGTTGACAAAACATCACTCTCAACTGAATTCCACTCAGAATCGTTTTTAGTAATCAATGGTTTATCGTTGCTTACAGATACAAATTAATTTCCCTTCTGTATTCTACCTTCCTAACTTCTCACCAACAACAGAGACTGCACTCATAGTGCGAAGTATATCCGTCTTTTTTAAATGAATATCTTGGAAGCTGTGGTCTGCAATAAAATATGGTAATTTATGAAATTTGTATACCATAAGCTCTATAGATCATTTGTATACCTACCTATAAATAGTATAGATATATAATATATAAGTAAGTATAGGTATTAGTATAGGTATAGGTATAGGTAGTATAGTATAGGTATAGGTATAGATTTTAGTACTTATAAATTATAATGAATTATCAATTAATTAATCAGTGGCGGCACATAAACTATCTACTAAAAACAACACTTGTAATAATTATACTTTAACTCAAATACCCACAGTGGCATAATGTGTTTGTGCCCCTTCCAATGGTAATATTTTATATGTTAATGATCAATAATACCTATATTTTATAATACATTTTAATAAATTATATTGTAGAATATAGACGTTTTATGTAATATGTTAATATACTAATTATAACAAAATTATAATATTTAAATGTTTATTTTATGTAATAATTCTTAAATGTATAAATTCATTGGCTCTTTTTCTATTGTATGATTATTTACTTATTCGATTAATTAATTGTCATTACCAATAACATAAAACATTATGCCATACAAATAACTTCAAAAGATGGCAATCCATTGAATTAATTAATCAATATTTGTAGTTATTAAAAAAACGTCAAGATGTAGGTACTTATGTCTGCCAAGCAGTAAGTAGGAAAGAAAAGTGACACTACTATACGATAACATACAAGTTGCCTTATATTTTATTTTATTACAATTTTTTTTCAATCGGTTTTTCTTTGAGGGGGCATCTATTTAGAAAAAAATTAAATTATTGTATTCATCCCTTAATCACTAAAAAAATAATAAATTTATATTTATTCACTTTAAAACATTTTCAAAGTTGTCACTTTGTAAACGAAATTATTCTAAAAATTTGAATGTATCATAAATTCAAATCAGATCAATAGATTTTCAATTATTTGAAGCAATTCATATGCAATAAAATACAAGGAATTACCGGGCTGATTGTGGTTCCTTATCAATTAACATGTTATTCTATTGAAAACTAATTACTTTCACGCCTATTTTTAAATTCTTAAATGGCTATAACTAATTATTGGTTTGAGTGGGAGGGAACTCAAGAGGACTGAAATTAATTTTTTGGAAATTCCAGCGTACACCAATTTTTTTTTTTAAAGAATAGCATAGGACAGGCTATTATTTAAGCTTACCTACAATATTGCTTAACTTAAATTTATATCTGTAAAAATCTTACAAAACGTATTAATATCTCATATCTGATAAGTGATAACTGATACCTAAGTAGTAGTTCATTATTTATAAATCCAAGTAACTAGTAACCACTGTCTATTTAAGTATTATCATTGAACAACATGGTAATATCCTGTTTAACCCAGGGATCAATATTATCATTTATGGAATATTTCAAATGTAGATGTTTAAAAATGAAAAATAATTAATCTTTGTAAAAATAAATATATAATTGTTTGTAGTATTAAACTACTATATTTTCCTGCTACGCTACAATGTTCGAATACTTACGGACTACGAACCACTGACAAAAACGTGTTTTATAATAAATGAAGGGAATATTATAAAACCCATATGAAGGAAGAAGAGAGAAATATATCTATACGTCCACTAAAACCGGTATGTTATAATACTGGTACTATAATATATGTACTGGTATATTCAACAAAAGATCGGTCTCGGGGATGAAACCTTCAACTGCAGAAGGTCACGTTATATTGTAATATATAATACACCCAAATAAGCATTAGGGTTGTCAAAAAAAAAAAATTACAGTGAGCCGTCGCGGGACGTTTAGCAGACATGAAACATCGAAACTATATTTTCTAAAAAAATATACATGAAAGGGTGGTTTATTAAAGGAAATAAATACAGCATAATCTGTTTTAATAATTGAACAAAACTGAAAAAAACTGAAAAAAACTGTCCTAGGATAATGGATACAGCCACTGTTATAGGTAATTTAATATATTTATATGCAAGCAACAATTAATCATTACCAACGAAAAAACGATTCTGAACAGATTTCGGTTGATAGCGTTGCTTTAACAACAATATATTATGTATCATATGGTAAAATAATTAAATAGGCATTATATATTTTCTATAATATTTGTTTTATATTGTACCTATTTTATTGTTTTTCCCAATTTATCTAAAACTTTATTTATTTAAAACTACTGGGAAAATTAAAAAAAAGACCTCTCTAAATCACCTTCTCAGTCCAATTTCCTTTCAGTAAAGATGCTGTCATAGAATATACACAAATTCAAAAAAATTTTTAATTGAATTTCAACAAAATAAACATGATTGAAAATAATAAAAAAAATTATATTATATTATAAATACTGAGACCGACCTTCGACAAGATTCTCATATCGCGGTACTCGGAATCGTTATTATTAGATTCTGAGTGTAGCGAAGAATGTATTGGTGTTACAAAGATGTATAATTTTTTTTTAACCCTGTATACAAAAATTCTACCAGAAATCATGCTTCGATATGTATGCATGGCATCATTTCTGAATGGAATATTGTCCAGATAATACTTTCGAAACAGAAAATTTACGAAAATAATGCTTTTATTATTATTATAAAACTATTATTTGTTGTAAATCAGTTAGAAATATTCATAGAGACTTGAAATTTGGAAATAAACTTATATTTCCAATTAATTTAATTTTCAATAGATTTAAGCCATTTTTGAGCTATTTATTTACATTTTAATTTTGCTAGTTTTTTACGTAATTTTTATTTGGTAGGTACTGTGTTTTAAAATTGTTTGACTAAACAGAAATGCGTGAACATTTAACAGAAGGCTAATTAAATGTCTTACTTTGTGGTTAAAAATAAAAAAAAATTAAGTTTAACGTAGTATTTTTTTGTTTAAAGGAATTAAAATATTAAATTTGGATGAAAATCGTTTGAGTAATAATTATATGGAACAAATTTAATTTTCCAATTTTTTTCTTTTTTAATGAACATTTGTATATTGCCGATTTAAGAACGATGGTGAAATCAGAATTGACTTGTTTTGGATTGACTAAGTTTCAAAATTATTATTAAGAAGGCTGTAATAATTTTAATTAATATCTACATTTCATAAATGTTCCAGTTCTCTTTTTGGGTTTATCATATTTATTGTGAAATCTCTTGATAAAATCGAAAAAACCTCTCAAAAGTACTCCCCTATACCGATTTCCTTTCATAAAAGGTACTACACTTAAAAATCGGAACAAGTCTTCTGGTAGAAAAGTTGTTGACAGATAAAAAAAAAATAAACATCTTTGTAAAATCATAAGCTTCTTCACTCCACTCAGAATCTAAAACTTGAAAATTTAAAATGCCTATAAATAATTAATGTGTTAATATTATGAGAATATCAAATATCTGTGACGGCGGCGGCCGACGCGACGGCGTAATATACAATAACATGAAACGCGACAAAACCAATCCTGCTATGGCGGTATAATAGGTGGTGGGTAGGTAAACGGATTCACACTGACACTAATGAATATTTACTACGAACACAGACGCAAGCTATGACCGCACGTACATAATATATTGCCTAAATTAAACCCTTTAAATAAACGTTGTCACCAATTCCTTTAACACTTTATAAATACTGCCGTAAAACCTTACAAAACTCAACAATTTACATTCAATGCCGGTTAAATTGCCTATACTACTCTTTAAAATTACCGCGAATCTGGTATTAGAAGTTTTAAGTGGTAAAAATAGTACTGCAATAGTACAATCTTGGAATATTTTCCAAAATAATCTTTCAGCAGAAGCTGACGTGATAGGTACATTTAGCATTATTCGAAGAGTTTTTTTTGAAATGAGCAATATAATATTTTTAACATGAAAGGAAATTGAAGTGCAGTTGTGTTTTCATTTACTGGAGATTTAAATATTTAAGTTCATGATAGTATATCTACTTATATCTTTGTACTCGCCATTCATGATATAAATACAAATCTCTACAATATTTTATTAATTCACTGTCTTCTGTTTCTTTAAGTTCTCAAATCGATATAGGAATCTAAATGTATCGCTATAGGTCGTAAACTATGTATAACATAAGTTTAGTAAACTTAATTCTTGATATAATAACAACAAAAATGAAGTACGATTTTGATTTTGGTTTAACCATGAATATAGTATATTCAAATTATTTTTTTCTGTTAGAACTGATAATAGTTTATTAGTATTTGAAGTTAAGTACTTGAATATTGCGATATACGAACACGAATATCACACAACAATATTATCAATATTATATACAGTCAGTAAAATATAACTGATAACCTATATAGGTACACCGATTACATTGCCTTTGCGTCGACCCTGTACGACTTTATACCATAGGTATTTTCTATAGTTGTCATTTATAATAAGTATTTGTTAATTCCATACGTATTTTAGGAATTTAAGTTTTATAAATAGTACATAACTATTCAATAAGCAAATACGATAATAATGGTTTAATTATTATAATTATAACAAGCACAAAGTATAATCACAAATTAAATTGAATAATACTCGTATATATTAATAAAATTATATTAAACAAATAATACTTCGAAAAATCGAAAAATGACCTCCATAAAGTACCTCTCTGCACCGATTTCCTTTCGGAAATGGTACTACACTTAAAAATCGGAGCGAAATTTCTGATAGAAAAATTGTCCATCAAAAAAAGAAATAGGTATTAAGCCGACGGCTAACAAATTCGAATCTATTTTCAAAATTTTGATATCACATAATCTAGATAGGTAAGTATTTGAGGAATAGAGCAATTTCGATATACTAGAAAAACAAAAATATTTTTTTGTATAAAACTGTGCGAACACGTCACTTAAATCACCGGTTTAAAACGGGTCAAACGAATCATATTATTCTAAAAAACTGCTATACTCAGGTAGTATTAACTCGTGACGTGTACCACTAAAATATGTTCATAGATGGCGCCTCATTGGAATTTCAAAATGTTTGGAAATCGTTCGGTATTTGTGATAATTCAACAGATTTCCAGTTATCTTCAGATAGTTCAATCATTGGATGGATGTGGAATACCTCTTCAAGCTACCGACAATGACACTACAATATCCGCTGAAACGTGTTTTTGTCATCCTATCTTATTAGGTGAGCATTTATATATTATGTATATATTTTATATATATATATATATATATACACACAATTTTTTTTAATATTCTATTTCTCTTATGATTTTTAACAATTTTCTTTTTTTCTTTCAGCTATTGAGTTCTGGCATTTTTGCCATTTGTCGACCACTAGAAGAGTATGTACTTTTATCGTGTTCATACCGACCTTTCCTTATACATACAGTGCTAATATCAGGATTAAAGATAAAGTAAATATGTATTTTATTACTTTATTTCACTTTCATTTGTGTCTTATAACAATTGAACATCCCAATTCTATAATACCTATTGCTCAATCAAAGAAATTTGTGTTTATGGCTGTTTCATCGGGATAATTTTGTCATAATTTTATGTTTAAAAACGTAATAGGTATAATACAACTCATTTGTACTAGATTTGTCAAAGAAACATTAATTGAAAAATCGAATACAGTCGGTTCGACTGTTAAAGGTTCTTTAACAGACTTCTATTTAATGAATTCTATTTATACAATGAAATATTTTATGGAATCGTGACATTTTCATTCAATACAATTTTTATTTAACGAATTAACTTTTTTCTTCAACAAATATAAAAGCTATTGTTATTTATAAAATACAAACTCGTCAAGTGTACAAATCGTATGTTTTCATACCTCGTTAAATTGTATCACCTTAAATTATTGTTATTGACGTTAATACATTAAAGAACCGATATTATATTATAAAATGTTCTAGAATATCAGTTGCCGCCATTTAGTAGTCACTGGCCATTCATTAGTTTTGGTTAGAAAGTACCTATAAACGTTTCGTAAAACTGTATAATTTTTAGTGCATTATTTTTTTTTATTGTGGGAAAGAAGATCATGTTATAATGTATTAGTAAATTATATATTAATGGTGTGCTCTATTGGCAAATTTATTTAACAATATGATCCCAGATATATTTTATTGATTGCTATTTCTTAATATAGTCGTTTCTAACTATCATATTCTGTGACCGAACCGGGTCCCAGATAACCCAGATAACAATACCCGTCATAAGTTAATAAGACCTCACAACAACATTACACATTATCATCATGCCACAGCGCAGCTATCAATCTATACTGTAGTCTGTAGGTATTTATATAAGTAATCATTTGTTAAATGCATAGGATCAGGACTGTTTGCTTTTCTAATTAATTGGCCGATGACTTCACTTCACCCATTATTTTAGATTCATAAAATTAAAATTAATTTCCCATTTATTACTTAATTAATTGTAAATGTCAATTAATGATCTACATTATAATCTTCAACTGTAACCCTATAACATTTTTTTTTATTCAAGTTGCGCATTAATTATTCCAATAAATACATTTGTATACCTAATGCAACTTAGATTCTAAATTTAAATAATAGGTACTTGTAAAATTATTAATTTTTAATATCTTATGATTTATTATTTAGGTCAGATGAAACTGAACAACTAAGAAAACCCAGTATAATATTGTAAGTGAAGAAAGGATAAAACTACAAAATAATACTACAATTTCAGCAATAATACTGAAAGAAATGTCCGAAAAACCGACTATAAAGGTAATATTTAGAAATAATTTCCCAAAAGTTAATAGCTTAGGTGTTTTTTAATTTTTGATTCTGAGAAGAATGTGGAATATACATACTTATTGATTTTATTATAATATCGGTGATACTCTAATACCTTGTGAATCCAAAAAGTCGAACATTTTCAGCACAAAATTCCCTATAATATTATTATGTAAATACCTTGTATATAATATATGCAAAGAGATTATAGATGTTCGAAAAATAAATTGTATTTCACCAATTAAAATTGTTGAGACTAACATCTGGTATTTCCATGTTATGATACTGTCATAATAATATTTTAAGTTAATTAAACAGCTTAGATTTGTAATTTATTTTATTTATAATTATGTAATCCAAAGTTTGCAACATGAATGATGACAAGATTCATATTTTTAATTAAGTAACAATTAATAATAAAATTGCATTGTTAAATCTATTTTTCATGATTAGTATCTATTTTCTTAGGTTCTGGAAGACTTTAATGAAATTGAAGTTAATCATGCCCAGAATATACAACTACTGAAGGTGCAGAATGATAATGGTATTATACGAGTAAATGGCACTTTAAATTGGAATCAAAAGAAAATGTATTCAGTTTTCATATTAATATGTAAGTGAAAAAGTTCCTGTAACACAAGAAAATATTTCTGTAGTGTTTTAATTATGTTTTCCCTTGTTTCACCCAAAATATATGAATGCAATCAATACTGTGGTCATAAAACAGGTAACGTTAATGATCAGGAATAGAATAAATTCATTGAGGATTAAAATATAAGTAGTAAGGACAAGGAAATGAACAAAGAAAAAACTCTTTCAGAAGAAGAGACAATTGTTTTCACCGTGAATTTATAGGCTGTAAAAGTATGCCCATTCTTAAAAATTAATGCTTTGTACTACAAATTCAAACTATATGTAATACAATTTTACAATGTAAAATCTTAGTACACATGAGTATATGTGTTATTGGTGGAATAAAACTCAATGTAACTTAATTGCTTCTGCTTTTACAAGTTGTACCAATTATTGATCAATTAACTATGTGTTACAACAAAAATTCAAGTAAGAATATATTATTATGGAGTGATGGGTATTGTTACCAACACAAGAATACAGTTTTATCTAATACATTTCTGAAATTATCTGGAAAACATAAAATAATCATTGAATAAAAGTATCTAACCAAAGGTCACACTCAAATAGAGTGTGACTTTGTACACTTAGTAACCTAAAGGAAATTAAGAGATACAGAAATTCATCTACCATCTAACTAAATAAAAATAACCAAATATGCAAGATCTAAACCATTTCCATATGAAATAAAAGATTGATTAGAAAAATGTTAACAGGTATGAGACTAGAAAAAACTGCTGATGAGACAACAGTAACTCAAATTAAAGCTCTCTAATATAATTTTAATAAAACTATAGAATATAAGCACAATTTTGATTATGAATATTGTGAAAATCCATCAAAATACATTATCCTATTATTTATAAACCATTCCATAAGTCTCCATTTAAAATACCCTGATCAAAATTGCAAGGTCATCAGAAACTTAATGCAATGCTATCAAAGAATTGCCATGAGTTTTATGACTAAATAAAATACTAAACACACAATAACTTGTAAATTTGAATTTATCATTAAATTTATTTAACTATTAGTAATTTGTTGAAGAAATGTTCAAGTCTAAACTAATATTACTACACAAATTGTTTATGTTTTAATTTATTATGGCATAATTTTATTTATATTTTATAATATAATGTTATATATAATAGAATATAATATAAATATAATAGAATATAATATAAAGAGTTAAATATAATAAACACTGCTTTATATTGTTTCGAAAAGGATTATTTTTGTTAATGGGTAGGATGAAAGTCGTGGGTGGGGGGATGTATTGACTTGACTTCCCTGAATAGAATTAAAATGGCCAATATGATTACATTAAACGGAACTCACTGTATTAACAATATTACATTTATTTTTTATTTTTTATTTTTACAGCCAACCAGTAATATTTGTAAAAATATTATATTCAAATAAATTGTTTGATGGAATTTTAAGTGGAGAATACAAATGCTTCTTAAACTTCAAATTTAATTTCTTTATTGTTTTAAAATTCTGGACACTACTAGGAGCATGTATTTTCTTCAATGCAGATGGAAAATATTAACAAATTAATATTGATATTTCTTTAAATGGGCATAATCATTTGTAAATGTAAGTCAGTAGTTATATATTTTAGTTATTTAAAATGAGTTTTATTATAATTGATTTTATGTTATTATTAGGAAATAATCAAGAAATAAATATTTTGGAAACCGAAGATCAAATTTTAGCGTTATTTTTATTTTTAAAGAAGTACAACAAATTATATAAATCTTCAAAAATATTTTTTATTAAGTGCCTTTGGCATTATTATTTTAAGTAATTAGTTAACTATAAGTAGACTGTATATGTATAATTAGGGTTGGATATTTATTTTAGATGTTTATAAATTTAAAATAACTGTAATATGTATGAATTTATGCATTCAAAAATTACCAAATATAAAATCAAAATATACACTAAGAATCATAAATATGCATTTTTAGTTTAAAAAAAACAACAAAATATGCACACAAAATGTATTTTACCTTAAGAATTTAATTTTTATTAGTCATTTTTTTAGTGGTTTTTTTATTTTTATTTTTTTAATATTAAATATTAATAAACAATAAAAGCGTAACAGTGTGATATAGTGATTCTTTTAATTTGTTCAAATTGTATTATTTATGTTTTATATTTCGTTATTAATTTAAATTGTTTTTAAATAAGTTCTGAAATAAAATGTATTGAATAAACAGAAAAGAATATGCACATTTTATAGTGCTTTAAACTCTGAGTCCTGATTATTATGTTAAATATTTTATTATTTGTAGGTTCAGATTTTAAGGCAATATGAATAAATTATCCTTAATCTTAATAAAGATATTTTATATACAAATTTAAAAAAAAAAAATCGAATAATAGATAAAAATACAATACATTGTAAACATATTGTTATGTTTAAAACAAATCTTTTAATGCCTTGAAATAAGAACCAAGTAATGTGCAATCATACTAACATAATATCAGAAATAAAAAAAAGTTTAGTGTTATTCATATATTTTTTAGGTATATAATATTTAAAATATTATTTCAGATAACTTTTTCTCCAAAATCATCTTGAATAATATAAATAGAATAATTTATTACTGTACTATAGTCTTGTTAATAGTTTTATATTCATAATTATTATTTGAAATAAGTATTTTTCGAATTTATTCGTACAATATAATTTTATTAATAAATTATGCATAATATTTATTTATTTTTAATTGCTTATTTTGTTTGTAATTGGGTTAAAAAATAATCGCAGATACCTGTATTAAATATTGCATGCTTAGTGGATAATCCCTTTTTAAAACCAAACTTATTATTACTAAAAAAATTTAATTTGTCTAAAAATCAACTAATCTAGTTTTTATACATTTTTAAAGAAATTTAGCAATTGTTAACACCAAAGAAATAGGTCTGTAATTATTATATAACTTTGCATTGCCATTTTTAAATATGGAGATGTTTAGATTTTTTTAATTAAGTCAGGAAAAATCCCAGAGGAAAAACATTTATTAAAAATAATTGATAATGGAACTAAGACTTTATTGGTGTTTTTGAGAATTTTATAGTAATAGAATTTACAATGAATAAAGTAGTTCTTTTAATATCTTTAATAAGATTTTACAATTCACTTATAGAAACAGGTGTTCAAAAAATAGAAATAGAAATAGAAATATGCTTACTAAGATTAAAATTGTTAAAATTCAGTTAAATGATTTTTTTTTTTTGATATGATCAGACATATTTGAACTTACCTTAGCAAATAATTTATTTAATTCATTAGCAATGTTATCTTTATCACTAACAGTACTATTCTGAGATATAATTTCATTGATATCATATATTTTTTCATTACTTTTATAAATTGCTCTTTTTATAAGATTATAGGTTAAACTTTTAATTGTTACCAGATTGAATAATATGATTTTGAAAATATAAATTTATAGTAAGATAATAATAATAATAATTGTTTATTGTAACAAAAAATAACATTCTTTAGGTTATAACAACATAACAATAAAACATATAATTATGACTACACATCACTTAAAAGCATTACTTGATGAAATAGAGATGTTGAGTTTATAAGCATAATATTATAATGAATATAATCATAAAAAAGAAACATAATAAATAAAACATTCATAATTCAAAATATTAGTTATCAATTTTTAATTTGGTTTTTAAAATAATAATGTGACTGTTACTATGTACAATGCTAGAATTCAATACCAAATATTAATAAAGATTATACAAAGATGTAATATATAAGTTTCAGTTAGATATTAAACATATCTAACATCCTTGAAAATAAGAAAAATGTTATTATTTTAATCAAATAATTAAAATGCAAATTCCATTATAGTCATCATAATAATTTATAATATTAGACATTTAATGTTCTTTATCTTTTCTAAACAAAATCAATTTGAGCTACAGTTTTTACTATTGCATGTCAATGAATGTACACATAGTTAATAATCAATAATATTAAATCTATTATTTTGTATTTTAAAACACACATATTTAATTTTATTCAAATTTAACTGCAGTAAATTATGAACAAACCATGATTTAACATTGATTATCACTAAATTTGCTGTAGAATATAATTCATTATATTATTTATTAGAAATTAACAAGGTTGTATCATCTACAAAATTTTATATAACTTTGGCATTTATTTCTAGATTAAGTAGTCCATATATAACAATGATAAAAATAGAGGTGTTTTGATACACCATGGGCAATGTTTAAAGGATTACTATAGTATAAGGCCTATGATTTTAACTCTTTGTTTTATAATATATTATATAATTAGCTTACTAGAAATGGCACAAATTCCTACATTTTCAATTTTTTTCAATTATAATGTATGGTTTATAATGTCAAATTCTTTTTTTACACCCATAAATATTCCTAAAACTATAATTTCCATCCAATCTTTTATGAATAAAATTACTATGAACTACATTACTACATATTACTACATTTACTGTGAAATATGCATCTCTAGTGGACTTAGCAGAAGTAAAACCAAACTAGTTGAGAAAACAAAAATTATTTTTTTCCAAAAAACCAACTTTTCTATCCATAAGACATTTTTCCAATAGTTTATTGGAGCAAGGATTTTATTGGCTTTGCAATGATGTTTTTTTTTTTATTTATCATTGTATATTTTTATGTGATCACTTTTTCTATCAGAAAGCTTACTCTGATTATCAAGTATAGAAACTATTATGAAAGAAAATGTTTTCTGGATAGTATTTTAAACAAGTAATTTATTTAAAATTCTCTTTAATATTCAAGATAATAAGGAAAACCTGGATTTTCGGGTTAAACAATATTAAAAGATTAAAAATAAGGTTGTCATTGACATATTTTTTTATTTATTTTTTGTTATTATTAAGTTTTTGTTATTTTATATTTTTAATTTTTTTAAACAAATGTGCCTTTGGCTCAAAAATAATGTTAGGTACATTGTAAAAAAATGTTTGTAAGTTTTGGGTATGATAATCCAATCCTTTGAAAAATGAACATAAAAATCACCGGTTTTTAAAAAATCTCAAGACCATTAAGGCAAGTTAAGGAACTGACTTATCGTTCCCAAAATTCGGAAAAATTATTTTAACAATGTACAAACAGAATTACCGACCCATGAATTCAAATATTTGACATTCCCTTTCAACACCTATGGATAACACTATAGTACACTTGTATTAGAGCTTAAGCACCTAAAATGTAACAATCTAAATATTATAATAAATAAGTAGATATGTAGGTACTTCAACATAAAGGTAAATTATGATATATAATTCTATTTTTGTTAACCTTTAACCAATATAGATAGTTTTAGATTCAGATTATAGCGAGAATGTATTAATTTTACTAAGATGTTTATTTTTTTTTTTTTTTATACTGTGTACAATAATTATACCAGAAACCCTATCAGATATATACGCGTGGCACCATTTCTGAAAGAGAAAGTTATCCAGATGAAACTTTTAGGAGGCTTTTTTTTTGATTTTCCAAGCAGTTTTCATAATATCTGAGAAAAACCAAGATAAAACGTAAGAAAAACGGGAAATTTACGAAAATAATACTTTTATTATTTTTCATATTTGTTATTTATTGTAATTAAGTTAAAAATATTTGTAGTTACTTGAAATTCGGACATTTCATAGACATTTTAATATTGCGAGTTTTGTACTTTGCCTATTAATGAATTCAATAAAGAAAGTGCGGAAAAAATATTACATATTGTCTTTGAATGGTAACTGCAATTATAATTGCTATAATATACCAACCCTAGTGCTTCAATTTTCACCTGTTTAATAGCGATTCATTACCGTAGACAATTTTCAAGACTCAAGCAACCATTTTATCTTAAATCGTGCAGTGTTTTATTTAAATTTTATTTATTTAAATGACTTAAAAACTTAACCTTAATTCAGTTATAAATAATTACAAGTAATACAATTTAATGACTATGGTTTTGCGTTTTTACAGAAATAGTTACTTAATAGTTACTTTTAATCAAATTAATTAAAATAGAAACTTATATTGTTATGTTGGTAACACTCATCGGCAAATCGAAGTCACGATTCATATCATTAGAGATTCCCCCCTACTAATTGTTTCACGCCACCTATTATTTTTTTAAATGGTCATCTCAATACATCTTTTATACACAACATATTTATTTAAACATTCATTTGTTCTTGCATTTCAATATTGATCTATTCCTATAATAAATATGGTTACCTATAGTATTGAATCAAAATTCATGGTTATATTATTTATTATTCATATTGGCCACTCGCTAGAGTTCAATGGATTTGATGACACCATGTTGTATAAAATAAATTGGCCAGGTAAAACTGAAACTGACAGAATGGTGAAGGTTAGTTAAAAACAATGAAAAGTTGAAAGTAACATGTATTTCAATTATTTGCAAATTTATAGCTGTGTGTTATTAAACAATAAAATCATAATTGTTAACTTATAACTTAAATGGTATAGTATTAAAATTGTACTGGTAGATATCCTAAAAATACAAATTGTATAAATCTATACTATTAAAAATTTAGATTATATAGTATAAAAAAAATATATACTGATTTGATAGTTGCCTAATAAATTAGTGTTACAAAATTATCAATGTTAATTTTTGTTTTGTTAGTAGAATAAATATAGTAACATACAAATTTAATTTCCCATTTTTTCTGTATAGTAAGTAGTTACTTTTGGGTAACAAAAATTAATGCTCAAAAAAAAATATTTATTATTATTGTTCTTTGGCCTCCTAAATAACCCAAGTAATTTTATTCATTTTGTTTAAGAAAAATCTCTTTTCAAATTTAATACTTTGTGTAGATGAAACTAATTATTTAAGTTTTACAGGCACAAAAAATAGTATTAATTTTAATATAGGTATTTAAGTAATCTACTGCTATTTTCAAATTTCTTAAAGATTTTATTTTAATTTATTATTTATTCATTAGGAACACAGTGAAAATACTTTTACTGTGCAAACAGCTATCGGTGAAACATATCAGTGTTTTCTACCAAATCATGTTGAAATTAATAAAAAATCTGATTTACCATATGAAGGACCTAGTCCATTTGAACTACTATTATCATTATTCTCAAAACAAACTTGTTCTTCCGGAGTAAATATATAATTGATGTAACATTATAAATATTTTATTCGCTACAGTATACATATATTTAAATAGGTTGATACTTATTGGATTTATGAGGTATGTCATTTCCGATATGTTCGACAATATCATAAGGAAGGCGAAGGAAAAACACAGAAGGTGCAAGAGTACTATTTGGGTAGATGGCAGATTTTTGAAGGTCTCAATGAAGGTAAAGTAATCAAATTAATAATAACTAATGATTATACATACCTACTAATATAAATTTGACTGTATTTTTAATTAAAATGTATAGAAGAGAAATACTTGTACCACTGCACAAAATGTCTAATAATTTTTTATTCTGACTTAATTTTTAGTGAAGGAACCAAGAAGATTTGCAAGTATAAATTGTCCTAGACCTACAAAAACAAGAAAAATTGATGGTATTAACTTACCATATTTTGAAGCAAACATGTCTGATGGCACAGTTTGTGATGTCAATGGCCGTCAAAGACAAACAAGCGTATTATATGTTTGTTATCCTCGAAGTAAACATCGTGTGTTTTCGGTAACAGAGACATCTATTTGTCAATATGAAATTATCTTTTTAACATCATTTTTATGTAGTCATCCTTGGTACAAGTTAGTATTAGAATTTTGGGGATATTATTAATCGAAAATGATCTTCATAAATAAATGGTGTATTGAATATTTATTGAATGTAGACCACCAAACAGTGATGAATTGAACATTAACTGTTTTCCAGTAGACGATTCACCACGCAAACCTCAACATTTAAAATTTCTCCAATCTGATACTTCTAAATTGAAAAAGCAATTAAAAATTATGCACACTGTAAGTTTAAATATTTATATTTGTANGTTGGCATATTAATAACGGAGAAACTAAAATACAGGTTAAAATACAATCATCTTCAGAAACAGAATCAATTGGGTCAAAAAAAAAGTCATCTTTAATAATAAACAGTTATGCTAAAACATCAATTAATGAAATGAAGGAATTTGTGTTTGGAAATTTATGTTTTCATGGAGTGGGTCAAATTATATTTAAACAATTTTATGATTTTTATTAAATATAATATTTCTATTACAGGACGCTGGTTGGTGTACATATGAAATATGTTATAATGAATTCATACAATTGAACATAGAAATAGGAAAACCTGATAAAATTGTTACTTTAGGCATGTTTAATATACTAGACCATATTAATTGGTTAAATAAAAACGAAGAGAAGAAGCCAAAACTTGATACAAAAGGAAAGAGAAATATTTTATTTCATTTTTATTCTTCTGGATCTATCTGTCAAAAAACTGGTGAAAAACGAGAGACTGTGGTAAATATAACTATTTAACTTGCTATTAATATTTATTTATTTATAACAAAAAAAACCAATTACCACTTTTATATAACTAATTAAAGATACATGGGTATATAAATTATCATAATACAGAATACATTGTAGAGCTTTATTAACTGTTGTTGGTTAACATTAATATGTTTTTTATTAACACTTTTTAGGTGCAGTATAAATGTACAGAAGATCAATATAATGAAAATTTAATAGATCTTTATTTATTTGAACCAAAACCATGTAAATATGAGTTAAAAATAGAATCACCATCACTCTGTGAATTAATAAATGGGCCAATTGATGAATCTGGATTATTCAAAAAGAAGGATAAGGATATTAATAGTATATTAAAAACTATATTTGATGGTGACACGCAAACAAATTTGAATTACTTCACAAAAAAAGAATTGTAGGTTCTTCTGAACAAGAAACAGATAATGAAGAAAATAAAAGTGTTAAAATTTGAACTTTAAGATATGGTAATCTAAATTTTCGATGTAAATTGTTTTTAAAAAGTTTACATATTCATTATTTAAAGTAGTATCTGAATTATAAATATTTTTAAAATATAGTTTTTAATATTAATGTTCTTAATAGCTAATATAATAAATATTTATACATTATATATTTTAGTTTTAAAATATTTTTTCCATATCAAATTTATTGATTAATTTTATTTTAAAAGATTGTAAGTATATTTCTATTAGTATAGGTATTGGTTTTCATTATAACATGGATTTGGGACTTCTTGTATTTACATATTATTTTAGTAAGATTAATAAAATAGCATAGTTTAATGTAAATACTATTCATTGTGCAAAGAGTCTAAATTCTACTTTTTATTTTATATATTTATGCATAATTTACATTTTTTTTTTTATTACAATATATTTAAACAGTATGTAGATTTAAATACTATAAAAGTACTTATATTTATATAATACCTTCTCTTATTGTACACACTTTTTTTGAAAATAAAATAGTGAAGCTCTTAGTACACAATATAAATAAAAAAAAAAACATTTTTTTGAGCATTTTTGATTGTTTTTTGGAGCTAAAGGTCCCTTAGCTAAGTAATAATATTACACTCTGTATTTATATATATATATCAATGTACCTATTTAATGAAAATGAAAAAAATTAAAATTTGTCTAAAATTGAACTTCAGGATGATATAATGATCTGATTTTTTTAATGTAAATTGTTTTTAAAAAATTTGCATATCCATTATCTAAAGCAATATCTGAACTAAAAATAATGACGAAAGTCATGTTTTTTATATTAATATTCCTAAAATCTAATATTATAATTTATATATTACGCTGGTCCTTATTTTTGAACTTCAATAATGTTATCCCAGGGGCACAAAATTCTGTTAGATATATTATGAAAATAATTTTTGCAATTTTTGTATATAAGTCTTCTTCATATACCTCAAAAATTTTGAAATTTATAAAAAGAGGATGTTTCAGGATTATTTTAATTTTTTTTTTTAAAACTTTTTAACGTACAAAAAATTTATCAGACATATTATTATAGTAAAAGAGATTTCTCATGAAATAGTTCTCTTCAATTTTTATTAAAACTTATTATTTTATATAAAAATCAATTTAAAAGTTGGTAGATTTGTTATAGAAAAATTAAGATTATGTAAAATTTTAAATCTACCATATATTAAATTGATTTTTCACATATAACAATAAGTTTCACTGAAATGTTAAGGAGAGCTATTATGTAGGAAATCTTTTTTACTTTAATAAATTTGTTTGTATGTTATAATTAAAAACTTTTACCACTTTTCCACCAACTTTTCCCACTTTTAAAAACTTTAACCATTTTAAGGCATGAGAAGGGGTTGATTTATCATACCCAAAATGTACAAAAACTACTTTTACCTAACCTAACAAGATTAGCCCGCGAATCCAAATATTTGACATTTAAATAGTGAAATTTTTAGTACACAATATTAATAAAAAAAAAATTTTATGAATATATTTGGTTGTTTTTTTGAGTTAGAATTCTCCAAGCATAGTCATAATATTACAGTTTATTGTACCTATTTAAAAAAGTTATCTGCTATAATCTATTCGAATAACATATTTAACTTTAATGATGTCCTTAAATATTATATTACATGACAATACAGGAAGGCATTAAATGAAATCACAACATACCTTTCTGTCGATGTGATTGTCTATACATATTGTTCAAGTGCTAACATTTCTATACAATATAATATCTAATCAAATAGGATCTGTGATTAGTATTTTTATTTTAACTTTGATTATATTGATCTTCGAATAATACCTATAGTAGGGCGGTCCTTAGCCTATAGATGTTGAAAATGAATTTCAAATATTTGAATAATCTTGAATTGTTCTATTACAAGTCTACCAACTTTTAAATCATTATTTTACACACAACAGTAAGTTTTACTGAAATGTTGAAAAGAGTTTTTCATAAGAAATGTTTTCACAATTACACATTGACTGATAAATTGTTTGTATATTAAAAATAAAAAATAAAGGTACAAAACCTCTTTTTATAAACTTTAACCTTTTTAAGGCACGTGAAGGGGTTGATTTATCATACCCAAAATTTACAAAAATTATTTTTACAATTTACCTTACAGAATTCTGAGCTCGTGATCTTAAATATTTGATATTTATTTTCAACAGCTACAGGTTTAGGACAATCCTATTATACACTTGTATTAGGATTTAGGTACCTCTAATATAACAATCTAAATATAATAATAAAGTAGGTGTGTACTTGAATATAATATACAGGTAAATATATAACATAATGATAAATAATACTATACCTTTCTTGGTTTGGTACTTTAAGAAGGTAATTTTTTGATTTTCTCAGTAGTGAATCAGGAGTTTCTGGAATGAATACACATATAGCATTGGGTAAATTGCCATTTGAGTCAAAATGTACAGTTGGTTTTATAAATAAAATAGATAAAATTGTTGAATTATTTAATTTGTGTATAGTTCCAAATAACAAATGCTATAGAAGACCATTTAAAAATATATTTAACCAACTAGAACATCTTTCTATAATTCTCTCATTTAAAACTTTAAAAATTATCTTTAAGTTAAATGGTGTAGATTTTATTAGCAGGATAAATTTAATAAGCGGTTGGCTTATAATCATTAATGGATTATTAAAATTAATTATTAATCCAGATATCCATGTAATTATGTATCAAACCCATATCAACTGGTTAAATCAGACTTAGAAAATTTATTTCCCATGTTTTGCAATAAGAATGGAAATAATCATAATCCCATTCCTGTAAAACTTTATATAACTTTTCAAAATTTGTTTTGTTTAAACTACTTTCAACATTAGCCCAATACTAATTGTATAAAAGATCTTGATGATATTTTATGTTATATGAACCCACAATAAATCAGAATTTCCAATGTTATGTTGCCAAATTCTCTATCAAAAGATACATATTTTAATTTCAATAATTTTAAATTTACCAAAAAACATGTTTTACATTAGATCTGTGGCTTTTGTATACCAAGTGTTTAGACCAACATACCTGTGTTTTAAGTACCAGGTGGTCCAATTAAGTGGATACACTTATTATCTCGATAAGTATTAATTTTTTCCCAGAATTTTTTTCTAGAACATTTAAGAAACAAGTAACTATACATTTTATATTTATGATATTTTTTGTCACCCTTATTTTTGGGTGTAAAACCACTACCTATTTTTGATTTTAAAATTGCAACCTATATTAAAAATCTCATAAATAGATGAAGTATTAGTTAAAATAAATTTTAGTATGAAATCTATCTTAACTAATACTTCATCTATTAATATTTTTAACTCCCAAAAAATAACTGTGTTAAAAATAACATGAATATAAAATTAAGAGCTACTTGTTCTTAAATATTATATAAAATAAATTCCAGGAAAAAGTTAATATTTTTCGAGATAATGAGTGTACACACTAAAATTAATCACATGGTATAGAGTATAGTAGGTATCAAAAAAATTTAAATAATAAATAAATATAATGATCATTAATACAAAAGTATTAAATTGTTATACTTTTACTAAGATGAGTTTATTATAAGAATGTACAATAGTGCCTGCTGTGACGAGCAGGGACTAACTACTGGGACGTAACAATTAGGTTTACAACACGATTAGATTAATACGCAAGACATTACGTATTAATCTAATTACTAAATAATAACAACGAATAATAATAATCATAAACGATAGATATCAGTGTAGAACACTTTTAATAATATTAATCAATAATAATAATCAGCACACTTTCAACAACTAACAATAATAAATTATTGTGATGCTAATTTAATTATTATTATAAAAATGCTCATTATTATTATTATTTAAGTGATCATTATACCTATTTATTATTACCTATTATGATTCTTATTAAAATACTGATTATGACTATGGTTTTTAAAGTGCTCATTATTATTATCTTTATTATCAACATTATTTTAAATTTTCAGTGAAGTGAAGAAGCTGATGGTTTTACAAAGAATTTGATTTTTTTTTCACTGTTAGATTTATTGAGAAAATGCCCGGGGAAAAGTACATCCCCAGTCAGATTTCCTTTTTGAAGAACTGTTATCATTGTAAATCGGAGCAAGATTTCTGGTAGAAAAGTTGTGCACAGATAAAAATACGCTGTCCTAGGATAATTGAGATAAATTTAGCCACTGTTATAGATAATTTAATGTATATCTGTTTGCAACGCTTAATCACTGCGAAAGAAAAAATGACTCTGACCGGAGTTCAGTGTAAGACCATAGATAGTTGCTTTGACAACAATAAATATATATATATATATATATCATATCATCATAAATCTTTAAAAAAATATTTGTTCAATATTGTACCTATTATTTCATTTTTCATACGATTATCCCGTGGTTTTTCCTAGATTTCCTATTTATTGGGAAAACTAGTAAAACAATAAATAAAATGACCTCTCAAAAGTAACCTCTCAGTCAGATTTCCTTTTAGATAAAGTGTTAAACTTAAAAATCAGAGCAAAATTTCTGGAAAAAAAGTTGCGCACAGATATAAAAAAAAAAATTAAAAAAATAAACATCTTTGTAAAGTAACAATAAACTATTGAAAAATAAAAAACGATTTTAAGCAGAATTCAGTTGATAGTGTTGCTTTGTCAATAATATACATTGTGTCATATATTTTTTTTTTTTTTGTATACTTTTATCATTCAATAAATCACAACATCATTTTCTCTATAAATGGTGTATGGAATTACAAGAAAGTGAGTTGGATGCAAGTTCAGCAATCAAGGAGTTAGAGTGGGTCTGTAATTTAGATTGAAATTTTTTATAATTTTTGGTTCCTAATTGGTTAATTGTTTCTATTTTTAAGTCATTTTGAAGTGTAGCATTGGATAGGTACTGTGGTACAGAAGAGATAACGCGGGAGTGATGGATTTAAAGGCTTGTAGTGTACATAAATTGGATGGTTTCGCACAATTCCAGATTTGCATACTGTACCTATTTTCCAGTTATACCTTTTTTTCTGATTTTTCTAATATATTGAGAAAACTCCTGAGAAAATCAAAAAATGACTGGGAAGTAATATTAGGAATTTCAATTCCCAGTCAAATATCATCTTAGGAAAGTGCTATCATTGTAAATCGAACCAAAATAGTTGGTAGAAAAGTAGTATACATATAAAAGAAAAATAAAACATTATTGTAAAACTATAAGCTTCTTCGCTCTACTCAGACTCTAAAATCATTGCATAGTACATCCTAAAATTTGAAGATTATATTCGAATAGTTTATAACAAATAATTTCTTTTAAAACAGACTGTAATTTTATAACTAAGCTTAGGGACTTCTAACTTCAACAAACAACCAAATATACTACAAAAAATTATTTTTTTTATTATTAACATTGTGCACTAAAAATGTCACTATTTATTTTTAAAAAAAAGGGGTGTACAATATGTGGCATACAATAGGAGAAGATATTATATGAATATAAGTACTTTTATAGTATTTAAATCTATATACTGCTTAAATATACTGTAATAAAAAAAACTATAAATTATGCATATATATGTAAAATAAAATGTAGGATGTAGACTCTTTGCACAATGAATAGTATTTATATTAAACTATGCTATTTTAATAATCTTACTAAAATAATATGCAAATGCAAATAGTCCCAAACCCTTGTTATGATGAATAAATATATACCTATATTAATAGCAACATAATTACATTCTTTTAAAATAAAAATTGAATACAAAATTAGACACAGTAAGAATATATTAAAATTGAACTATATAATGTATACACATATATAAATATATAAGGTGATTTTTTTATCATGAACCAATAATTATCTTAGAGACTTTTAAGTAAAGTTGATTTTATAATCACTATGGAATCGTTTTTAATTTATTACTCCTACTCAATATACCTTAAATAAGTGAATACTTTTGATTTTAAAATTGGAACTCCCACTTTTAAACACAGATTTATATAAAGAATATTTTTCTATAAATTTTGATATACATAAAATTAAATCAGATTTACTGTTAAGGGTAAAGAAGGGTAATAAGATGCCTATCGATGACCCCTTTCTACTCCTCTGGACAACATTTTAAATTGTTAAAATTCGTAAACAGTAAATCTGATACTAGTGTTATGCATATCAAATTTTCCTAAAAAATATTATCTATTCAAATCTATGATCAAACAGGAAGGTTCCTATTTGAAAATCAAAAATCAAAGTATAATAGCTGATTCATGATAAAAAGTCACCTTGTATAAATATTTATTGTATACTAAACTATTGTGTGTATTCTATTAAGAACATTAATATTAAAAACTATATTTTAAAAATATTTATAATTCAGATATTACTTAAAATAATGAACATGTAAACTTTTTAAAAATAATTTACATTGAAAAATCAGATTACCATATCTTAAAGTTCAAATTTAAACACTAGTATTTTCTTCATTATCTGTTTCTTGTTCAGAAGAACCTACAATTCTTTTTTTGTGAAGGAATTTAAATTTGGTTCCGCTTCGTCTTCAAATATAGATTTTAAAATACCATTAAAAACCTTATCTGTCTCTTTGAATAATCCAGATTCATCAATTGGCCCATTTATTAGTTCACAGAGTGATGGTGATTCTATTTTTAACTCATATTTACATGGTTTTGGTTCAAATAAATAAAGATTTATTACATTTTCATTATATTGATCTTCTGTACATTTATACTGCACCTAAAAAGTGTTAATAAAAAACATATTAATGTTAACCAACAACAGTTAATAAAGCTCTACAATGTATTCTGTATTATGATAATTTATATACCCATGTATCTTTAATTAGTTATATAAAAGTGGTAATTGGTTTTTTTTGTTATAAATAAATAAATATTAATAGCAAGTTAAATAGTTATATTTACCACAGTCTCTCGTTTTTCACCAGTTTTTCGACAGACAGATCCAGAAGAGTGAAAATGAAATAAAACATTTCTCTTTCCTTTTGTATCAAGTTTTGGCTTCTTCTCTTCGTTTTTATTTAACCAATNTCAATAAAAATCATAAAATTGTTTAAATATAATTTGACCCACTCCATGAAAACATAAATTTCCAAACACAAATTCCTTCATTTCATTAATTGATGTTTTAGCATAACTGTTTATTATTAAAGATGACTTTTTTTTTGACCCAATTGATTCTGTTTCTGAAGATGATTGTATTTTAACCTGTATTTTAATTTCTCCGTTATTAATATGCCAACTAATGACAAGATTAAAAAACCATGCAAAAAAAAGTTAACTGCTACAAATATAAATATTTAAACTTACAGTGTGCATAATTTTTAAGTTCTTTTTCAGTTTAGAAGTATCAGGTTGGAGAAATTTTAAGTTATGAGGTTCGCGAGGTGAATCGCCTACTGGGAAACAGTTAATGTTCAATTTATCACTGTTTGATGGTCTACATTCAATAAATATTCAAAACACCAATTATTTATGAAGATTATTTTCGATTAATAATATTCCAAAATTCTAATACTCACTTGTACCAAGGATGACTACATAAAAATGATGTTAAAAAGATAACTTCGTATTGACAAAGAGAAATCTCTGTTACCGAAAACACACGATGTTTACTAGGAGGATAACAAAGATATAACACGTTTGTTTGTCTTTGACGGCCATTGATATCACAAACTGTGCCATCAGACATATTCATTTCAAAGTATGGTAATTTAACACCATCAATTTTCCTTGTCTTTGTAGGTCTAGGATAATTTAAATTTGCCAATCTTCTTAGTTCTTCAACTACAAATAATGTCAGAAAAAATGTAAGAGAAATTTTGTACAGAGATACAAATTTTTCTCTATTATAAATTTCATTATACAAATACAGTAAAATTATTATTATCATTAGTTATTATTAATTTGATTAGTGTACCTTTATTGAGATCTTCAAAAACCTGCCATTTACCCAAATAGTACTCTTGCTTCTTTTGTGTTTTTCCTTCACCTTCCTTATGATATTGTCGAACATATCGGAAATGACATACCTCATAAATCCAATAAGTATCATCCTATTTAAATATATCATATGTAGACATGAAGTATAGGAAATAAAATATTTATGTTACATAAATTATATACTTACTTTGGAGGAACAGCATTGTTTTGAGAATAATGATAATATTAGTTCAAATGGGCTAGGTCCATCATATGATTTTTCATTTATGTCATTTAGTTCAGGTAGAAAACACTGATATGTTTCACCGAGAGCTGTTTTCACAGTATAGGTATTTTCACTGTTTTCCTAATGAATCAATTATAAATTTGAGTATAATCTTTAGTTAATATAAAAATAGCAATAGATTTCTTAAATTCTCAGGAATTTTATTTTACTATATGTATCTAAATTTTTAATCACATACCTACAATATATAAAATTTGTATTTTTAAAATATTTACCAGTACAATTTTTAGACCCTATATCATTTAAGCTATAAGTTAATAATTATAACTTTGTTGTTTAATAAAATGCGGCTATGAAGTTGCAAATAATTGAAATACATATTACTTTCAACTTTTTATTGTTTTTAACTTACCTTCACCAATCTATCAGCTTCCTTTTTACCTGGCCAATTTATTTTATACAACATGGTGTTATCAAATCCATTGAACTCTTGTGAGTGATTAATGTGAATAATAAATAATATAACTAGAAATTTCAATTCAATACTACACGAAACCATAGTTTATTATTGGAATAGACTAATATTAAAATGCCTTAACATATGAATGTTCAAATAAAATATTTTTCGTATAATCGATTTATTGAGATGACTATTAAAAAAATTATGGTGGGAGTGAAACAATCAGTGGAAGGGGCGATGAGGCTCTAATGATATGAATCGTGACTTCGATTTGCAGATGAGTGTTACCAACATAACAACATAAGTTTCTATTTTAATTAATTTGATTAAAACATTTTTAAAAGTAACTATTAATATTTTTGTAAAAATGCAAAACCAAATCGTTATTTAAATAAATTGTATAAACATTGCACGATTAAAAATGAAATGGTTGCCTGAGGCTTGAAAATTGACTACGGAAATGAATCGCTATTAAACAGCTGAAAATTGAAGCATTAGCGCTTTGATGTTATAGTGTATATATTTGCAGTTACTATTCAAAAATAATAGTTTTCCCGCGCTTTCTTTATTGAATTCACAATAGGCATTATTAAATAATATGATTGCTATGATTTCTTTCCTAAAAACTATCAGATATATTATTAACGGCCATGTAATAATAATGTAATAATAAACATGTGTTCATATTATCTTATCATAATAATGCGTCAATATAGCAATCAACAAAATTGGTTCAAAGTTAACAAAAATATTATATATCATTATGTTTTATATTTACCTGTATGTTATATTCGAGTACCTACGATGTAGGTCCTACATACACAGCTAATTATTATACAATTTAGATTGTTATATTATAAGTGCTTAAGCCCTTAAACAAGTGTACATTAGTGTTCTTAATCTAAAGGTGTTGAAAATAAATGTTAAATATTTGAATTCGCGGGCTAGGAATTCTGTTAGGTTAGGTAAAAATAATTTTTGTAAATTTTAAGTAAGATATGTCAACCCCTTTACGTAACTCAAAAGGGTTAAAGTTAGTAAAAATGTGGTTGTTTTATTGAATTTAGATATTTAATGTCATAATTAATAGTAGTCCAAAATATTTCTTATCGTCAGAACAATAGTTTTCGTGTGGCCAATAGCATCCTGTTTTGTCACTTCGTCAATTGTTAGCCATGTCATATTTTTTCGGTTATTATAAATTAATTGTATTAATTTATACTAGGTATCTTAAACTCAAAATGTATCCTTTATATTTTAGAACTATATATAATACATCTAACTATAAGTATTTTATATAATATATAATTAGTCCTTTTTTTTCCTAGGCATCTTAGGGACCATTTATGTCCATTGGCGCAACAACAACATCCCTTAACTTTTCGCTGTCCCTTGACACTTCCTTCACAGTTTTTACCCCAGTCATTCTTAGGTCCACCTTAATTCTATCAGCCCATCGTTATTCTTTTACTCTTTATGACTCCTTTAATGTTGGCCTCTCCAAATAATCTCTTTAGCTCTTCATTTATCCTAACTTCAAATTAACCTTGATCATTCTTTTTGGTCCAAAAACTTTTCGAAATATTTTCCTTTCAAACACACCAAATTTGTTCTCAATCGACTTAGTGGTTGCCCACGTTTCATACATGTATAATGCTACAATACATGCTATAAGATAATCTTCATACAATGATATATTTGATCTTTTTAAGAATAATTTTGATTTGAACAATGTTGATAATCCAAATTAGAATCTGTTTGCTGTTATCAATCTTTTCTTATTTCTTCATTCGCATTCCAAGATATTTGAAATATTCTATAGTTTCAAATGAAAAACCTTCTATTTCCAATATTCTTACCGTGTGATGTTTTCTGAATAGTATACATTTTGTTTTCTCGTCATGTATGTTAAGACCGATTTCCTTCCCTATTCTTATTAGTTCTTTTGTGGATTGTTTTAGACCCTCCTCATTTTCTGAAATTATTACTAGCTCATCTGCAAATGCTACAATTACGAGTTATTGATTATCACTCATTTTTATTCTTTCCGCCTTACTAAAGACTCACTTTATTACTGACTCTAAGCTAATACTAAACAAACCGGAGACAAGGCATTCTTTGATAATTTCTTTAATAAATGGTGTTTGCGCTGTCCGTTAAAATCATTTATTTTCGTCCAATTATTGTTTCCGTGGTCTTTTCTTATTTTTGTAAATTAATTAAAATTGTTATGTTATCTGTGAATTATGCAAATCGACCATACTGTTGTATACCTATATTTGTCTTTGTTGATTATAATAAAAAAGCCGTATTGTTATCTTTATGATTATTTTTGTGTTGTGCCGTATACGGCTATAGATTGTATTATTGTATTAAAGTATTATCGCTGTTGTAGTTGGACGTCGCTGACGATTACTCGTGTATTTTTTCATATTTCGCTCGTAATTTAATATGTCTACTAGAATAATAATAGTAGTTTTTAATAATTTTTTTCTTCTCTGTCGATAATTTTCGTTACCTATTTGTCTACTTACACTTACGAGTCCCCTCGTCACTCTGACGCAGACAATTCATATTTATGGGCTGTGAATTTAATGCATTCACATGTTTGTTTTTGCTAAGCCGTATAAGAAAATTAATTTGACCAAGATTTGTTTTTGGCTTATATTATATAGTTAAAATATGAAGTCTTATTTTTCATATTTTTACATTTTTAACAGGTTAGAGCATATAAATCCATGTCTTTATGATTTTTTCTTAATATTTATATTTTTTCGGTCAATCTGGTAAAAATTGGTCCTAATGTTTTTCTTTATAATAATATAATGTTATTATCAGGGCTGTGAATTTAATGCATTTGCATGTTTTTTTTGCTACATCATAAAAGAAAATGGATTCGGCCAAAATTTGAATTGTGTTACTAATAATTAAAATACGAAATCTTATAGTGCATATTTTTGCATATTTAACTAGTTAGGGCATATAAATGCATGTTTTTATACTTTTTTCGTATTAATGCTTTTTTCTTAATATTTATACTTTTTCGGTCAATTTGGTCTAAAATATAAAATACATAATATAAAATGTATTTATAATCTAACTATCTTTTATAGAAATTTTATTATTTTTGAACATTTTATTCTATTTTTAGTTGGGTTGACTACACGTAAATTCGGGTATAAATAGTTGTTTTCTTATTTTGCCGAATATTGTCCAAGATCAGTATTATTAATTAATAATTATTATTGTATTGTTGTGGTCTATAAATATAAATAAATGGAAAATAATATTTACCTATATTAACTTGCACTTGATGCCTGATGGACAACAATTGTAAAAATAATACCTATTTCTATTAGTTCGATGTGATCGCCGATCCGTGATGTGCGTGTGTTCGTAATTCGAGTGTTATAGTTTTGTTTTGTTTATTTTATTATTTTATTGCGCCTAATCAGTACCTACTAGCTCCTTATTTATATTTCTAGTTGTACTGTATATTTTAAAATGCCAAAAGAAAAAATATCGGTTGCAACCCGTCTAAGAAACTACGTTTCTGAATTTGGAAATATATTTACAACAGACAGTAAAATTTTATTTTGTACAGTATGCAATATTAAAATTGCGAGTGATAAACGTTTTTCTGTAACACAACACATAGCCACTGAAAAACACCAAAGAGGAGTTAATCGTACAGAAAACAAAAAAAAAACTCAGCAACTTATTATCTCAAAAGATTCGTCATCTAAATCGTCATTTAATAATGATTTATGTAAAGCCATGCTTAGTGCTAACATCCCGTTAAATAAATTAAGTAATACATATTTCAAACAATTTTTGATAAAATATACTGGACAAAATATTCCAGATCAAACAACATTACGCAAAGTTAATGTTGACCATTGTTACCAGGAAGTTTTAAACGAAATAAGACAAAAAGTAGCGGGAAAGAAAATTTGGGTCTCAATAGATGAGACAACAGATGCCGAGGGCCGCTTTATTGCTTCAGTTATTATCGGTACATTACTCCTCGATCGTCCAGGTGAAATTTTTTTATTTAACCTCGAACAATTACAGAAAACAAATCATAGTACAATATGTTCCCTATTTGAAAATTCACTTTATTTATTATGGCCTGACGGAANAACTGGTAGCAAATGTTAAACGAGTATTCAAAAAGGCGCCTTATCGTGTTCAAAAATTTCATACTGATGCACCGAATATATCACTACCTCCTGAACCTATTCTGACACGTTGGGGTACGTGGATTTCTGCCGTATTATATTATAGTGAAAACTTTCAAACTGTAAAAAACATAATTGAAAGTTTTGATGAGAATGATGCGCTTTCCATAAAAAATGCTCAAAAATATTTTAAAATTACTCAAATGAAAGGAAACTTGACTTTTATACATTCGAATTTTGCATGTCTTCCCATAGCTATAACGCGTCTACAAAAACAAGGTATACCCTTATCTGAAGGTATTGCAATCATACAAGATATTTCATCAAAGTTTAGTCAATTAACAGGTACCGCTGGAATTGATATTAATAAAAAATTACAAACAGTTCTCAACAAAAACAAAGGATTTCAAATTGTTTGTAATATTTCAAAAATATTAACTGGCGAAGAAGAGAATGTAGGTGATTTGGATATACCAGAAGATTTAACCAGTAGCGACATGGCGTATTTTAAGTTTGCACCAATAACATCCGCAGATGTAGAACGATCGTTTTCTTTATATAAGAATATATTGGCACCAAACAGGAGGTCTTTCAAGTTTGAAAATCTCAAAAAATCATTAATCGTACAATGCAATAATTACTTTAGAGGTAAATTTATTAAATATTAAATTTATATTTATATTTATATTTATTTTTTTTATATAGATGCCGTAAATGACGATGATGAAGATCGCAATTAATTTAAATTTATATAAACATGTAATACCCATAAATTTTTAACAATTATATTTAGTATTTAAAAAAATATTTTTTGTTGTTTTTTGTATATTTTTGAAAAATTAGTACATATTTTACGAAATTTTAATAGCATATTTTTATGCACGTTTTGATATTTTTAGTGCATATTTTGATATTTTTTAGTGCATATTTTCATGCATATTTTGACATTTTTTAGTGCATATTTAATAGTTTTTTGGTGCATTAAATTCACAGCCCTGATTATAATTATTATTATTATTGTTTATTTCTTTGAAAAGATAATGGGCCCCCACTGAACAGATTCGTTTTGGAACTCATGAGTTCACAATTTATAATAAGGAAAATATTACATTCAAATAATAATTTAAATTGAACTTTTTTTTCACAATTTTAGACTTATGAAACTAACTTAAACATATACAATGTAGGTAACAATAATTAATATATGGAGATTTGAAAACAGTTTGAGAAAATACAAATGCAAGCAACTTGATTAGAGATGTACAAATATTTAAAGTTTTTAAATTTATTTCATTTTGCAGCCAGTTAGTTATTTATTTTTTTCAAGTATTAAACGATAGAGTTATTTTGAAGTCTAATGTTATCATATTATACATTTTTTGTTCTATACATAAATAAGTAGATTGAGTTAGTTTTCTGTGCATTAAGGGAACAGTAATGTTTGATAATTGTCTTGTGTTATATCCATGATCAATACTAGGTGTTAGGTTATTTTTAATTATATAAATTACTGATGCCTTATAGAACAATGGTAGAACATTTAATTCTTTGTACAGATATTCTGTGTAATACTAATAATTCTATATAAAATAATTTGTATTACCTATTCTATTTTGTATTATTTTTAATGGATTCGGTGTTGTATCGTAGGCACCTCTCCAAATAGTAATACCATAGTTAATTATGGATTCTAATAGAGCTTTATATACAAGAGTCTAGTGTTGTAGGTTCTTCACTTATAAATATAACGTGTCAACTGTTTTTTGTTCAAATTCTAATAAAAAACCATCTGTAGACTTAATATACGTGTACATCTTCCCATTAAAAGGCTATGTCCAAACGGCCCGTAACAATAGTAGGTATTTATTTATGTTTCTAATAAATGTATAAAAGATAACAAATTTATATACCTTTAGTAGATATCAGAGCAATTCTGATTTTATTATTAGGTTTATAGTTTTAATTGAATACCTCACAAAAAAAAGAAAATTTTCATTGAGACAATAATAACCAGGGCTGTGAATTTAATGCACCAAAAAACTATTAAATATGCACTAAAAAATGTCAAAATATGCATGAAAATATGCACTAAAAAATATCAAAATATGCACTAAAAATATCAAAACGTGCATAAAAATATGCTATTAAAATTTCGTAAAATATGTACTAATTTTTCAAAAATATACAAAAAACAACAAAAAATATTTTTTTAAATACTAAATATAATTGTTAAAAATTTATGGGTATTACATGTTTATATAAATTTAAATTAATTGCGATCTTCATCATCGTCATTTACGGCATCTATATAAAAAAAATAAATATAAATATAAATATAAATTTAATATTTAATAAATTTACCTCTAAAGTAATTATTGCATTGTACGATTAATGATTTTTTGAGATTTTCAAACTTGAAAGACCTCCTGTTTGGTGCCAATATATTCTTATATAAAGAAAACGATCGTTCTACATCTGCGGATGTTATTGGTGCAAACTTAAAATACGCCATGTCGCTACTGGTTAAATCTTCTGGTATATCCAAGTCACCTACATTCTCTTCTTCGCCAGTTAATATTTTTGAAATATTACAAACAATTTGAAATCCTTTGTTTTTGTTGAGAACTGTTTGTAATTTTTTATTAATATCAATTCCAGCGGTACCTGTTAATTGACTAAACTTTGATGAAATATCTTGTATGATTGCAATACCTTCAGATAAGGGTATACCTTGTTTTTGTAGACGCGTTATAGCTATGGGAAGACATGCAAAATTCGAATGTATAAAAGTCAAGTTTCCTTTCATTTGAGTAATTTTAAAATATTTTTGAGCATTTTTTATGGAAAGCGCATCATTCTCATCAAAACTTTCAATTATGTTTTTTACAGTTTGAAAGTTTTCACTATAATATAATACGGCAGAAATCCACGTACCCCAACGTGTCAGAATAGGTTCAGGAGGTAGTGATATATTCGGTGCATCAGTATGAAATTTTTGAACACGATAAGGCGCCTTTTTGAATACTCGTTTAACATTTGCTACCAGTTTATCAACTTTTGGAAATTGAATACGTATTTTTTCAGCGACTCTATGTAATCCATGGGAAGTACAAGTTACGTGAACCATTTTTGGATACAACACTTTTAATGTATCACCAGCCTTCACCATATAAGGCGCAGCATCACTTAAAAACAGCNCGATAATAACTGAAGCAATAAAGCGGCCCTCGGCATCTGTTGTCTCATCTATTGAGACCCAAATTTTCTTTCCCGCTACTTTTTGTCTTATTTCGTTTAAAACTTCCTGGTAACAATGGTCAACATTAACTTTGCGTAATGTTGTTTGATCTGGAATATTTTGTCCAGTATATTTTATCAAAAATTGTTTGAAATATGTATTACTTAATTTATTTAACGGGATGTTAGCACTAAGCATGGCTTTACATAAATCATTATTAAATGACGATTTAGATGACGAATCTTTTGAGATAATAAGTTGCTGAGTTTTTTTTTTGTTTTCTGTACGATTAACTCCTCTTTGGTGTTTTTCAGTGGCTATGTGTTGTGTTACAGAAAAACGTTTATCACTCGCAATTTTAATATTGCATACTGTACAAAATAAAATTTTACTGTCTGTTGTAAATATATTTCCAAATTCAGAAACGTAGTTTCTTAGACGGGTTGCAACCGATATTTTTTCTTTTGGCATTTTAAAATATACAGTACAACTAGAAATATAAATAAGGAGCTAGTAGGTACTGATTAGGCGCAATAAAATAATAAAATAAACAAAACAAAACTATAACACTCGAATTACGAACACACGCACATCACGGATCGGCGATCACATCGAACTAATAGAAATAGGTATTATTTTTACAATTGTTGTCCATCAGGCATCAAGTGCAAGTTAATATAGGTAAATATTATTTTCCATTTATTTATATTTATAGACCACAACAATACAATAATAATTATTAATTAATAATACTGATCTTGGACAATATTCGGCAAAATAAGAAAACAACTATTTATACCCGAATTTACGTGTAGTCAACCCAACTAAAAATAGAATAAAATGTTCAAAAATAATAAAATTTCTATAAAAGATAGTTAGATTATAAATACATTTTATATTATGTATTTTATATTTTAGACCAAATTGACCGAAAAAGTATAAATATTAAGAAAAAAGCATTAATACGAAAAAAGTATAAAAACATGCATTTATATGCCCTAACTAGTTAAATATGCAAAAATATGCACTATAAGATTTCGTATTTTAATTATTAGTAACACAATTCAAATTTTGGCCGAATCCATTTTCTTTTATGATGTAGCAAAAAAAACATGCAAATGCATTAAATTCACAGCCCTGGTTATTATCATAGTAATATCGTAGTATTTTACGATCCGGACTGGATTTTTACGTCATTACATAGTACAGTGAGTATACCGAGTTCGATCGAGAGGGCGTTTATAAATCCGAGACGTTTAAATATACAGATACCTAACTACACTGTGAAGTCGGATAATTTAAACAATTTTTGAGCAAATAATAATTACAATTATAATTTATTGTCAATATCTCAAGTACGACCCATGAGTGTAACGTTTTGAGTCGACGTTTCGATGGCTGTTTCGATGACGGGAACACCATCTGTGATTACATTTTGGTAATTATTATGTATTATTACCTATTTATTACAGATGTATAAAACTATTATATAAATATAGCCAACTTCATGAGTACATCTGAAGTGGCATACAATTTTATTGAATAACCAATAAACGGCGTAAACAATTTGTTTATGCCATGAACCTATGCAATTATATGGAAAATATTTGAAATTGATCATAAATCATTTTTATATCCAAGCCCGGATTGAGACATGTAGAGGCCCCCATGGCCGAACTTTTCAACGAATCTTTTGTTAAAAGACTAAAAGTATACAGTTTTAAAATTTGAATTTAGTTATTAATACATTTTAACAAAAGAAAAATAATAATAATAAATAAATTTATTATTTTTAACAAAATTACTAGTAATTTCTAATATAACTTAATAATATGAATTACCTTATCATCAGGCAACGAATAAATATTAAAATATCAAAGTACAAAGTTAATGGTTAAATGCATACAAACAAAACATACTGTGGTAAAAGCCAAGGCTCTGGGAGTCTGGTAGCCCGGGGACCAAGTAAATTATAGTAAAGATGATATCTAACACTATAAAATTAGTTATTAGTAAGAGATATTATTTTTTAATTATTTTCAAAGATATGAAGTATTTATGTCTTTCTTGAAAAAATTCAGAATTTGAACATGTGCCTTTCTGTATTTAGCGATTTATACATGACTGTCAATTTCATTCCTCTTATTATACTCTATCATACAGTCTTTCGGTATCTAATTTTTTTAATTTCTATGTAGGTATATTATAATTTTTTTTTGTCAAATCTAATAACTGAAGAAAGATAAAATTGAAACGATTTAAATAATTTTCAAACGTATTGTCGAGGTTTCGAAGGAATTTTCAATAAACTATGTTCTACAAGAGTACAAGTAAACCAAAAAACCACAACGTTGCAATTTTTTTTATACTTATAAGTCCTCTCGGCATTCGATCGAAAATCCAACAAAAATTTAATACATTATAAAAATTAAACATATTATTTAAACAGTAAAAATGTAAAATAATTATACAACTGTATGTTTTACTCGTATTATTATATCATAAATTTGATTTAATAATGAATTATAATCTTAAATGTAATAATAATAATAATAATGATTAGATGATAATGTTAATATTATACTTATATAATGTTAATCAAGAACAGATCATTGTAAAAATAAAAATAAAAACAAATAAACAAATCGTTAGAGACGAACAAATTTTTAGTAAGTATAATAATAAAAGATAAAAAAAAAAGATGATTAAAAAGGTCAACGATAACGCGTTTCGTGTTACAGGCAACTTTTTTGATCAAAGGCATTATAAACGGTTATCTACCTACATTTTATTTCATATTATTGACAAAAAATAATAGTACAATAGGTATATATAGATTATACAAATACAATGATAAATAGAAATAAAACACTTACATAATATATAATAATAGAATTACGATTACATTTAAATGTACAGAATCTGAAACAAATACATAACCATAATAATACATGGAACTATTATAATAATAAAGTCGTTGGCTACGCATACAACGCGATTCGACTATAATAATAAAACGAGTGTTTTAAAAGAGTAAATATTTATTATCATTATTATTATTGTTTTAAATGTAAGTATATATTTTATAATACACTACCCTATAAAAATACAATATAGTATTTACATTTCTATTGTACTCGTACATTGTATAAGGCGTTGAAAGTAATGTGTTTGTATATTATAGTATAAAAAGAGAAAGAGAGAGAGAGAGAGAGAGAAAATTACAATGTTCACGAATATATTAAAATATTATAAATATGTACCTATTCTAATTTATGCGGTTTAAAATATTATGATAATGTTGTATGGTTGTACATAATTATTATAATATATTATAGAAAGTGAATTAAAAGAGCGAGACAAAGAGAAAAATACATTATTAAAATAATAATAATAATAAAGTTAACGCTAAATAAATTGAGCTTTTAATCGACAAAAAAAACCTATACGGCGAATCAAAAATAAAAAAAAAAGTATAAACAATTATACATACGTCATATTATTTTAATAAATCATTAATATTTTATAATATTTGTTTGTTGTTATAATAAAACAACGGGATCATAACGTTAGTCTTCGTAATCGCACAAAAACGTTCAACAAAAATAGTATTTTTTTTTTTACTTGTGCGCGTATATCAATGCCGGTGTAGATAATAATATGAGGTATAGGTCCTAAATCGCATAAAACAACAATATTAACGTGAGTTATTGTTATTGATATTTCGACTCTCGCGCAAAATTGTTGGCACACCGCGGAATCCCGGAGGCGGCGTTGTCGCCGTCGTGTTGTGTGCGCAATAACAATAAATCACCGTTATACACTGTCATCGTAACGCGTTGTGTTTATCAATCAACATAATATTATATTACTTATAACAAAGCAAACCCTGATCCGGATCCAGAAAAAAAAAAAACATTATACATATAAAACCACGTTTTGATTGCATTTTTTAATCGATCAACAAGTAGTGTCGTGTGTGCGCGAACGCGTGTATAGTTAAATTATTAGTTCTAAATGATTATTGTGCGGCGCGTGTATACTCGAAATCGAAACATTTTTTTTTATATCGTTAACAATAAACGTAATATTCTACGAGGAAAAATATAATAATAGTCAACAACGATTGTATAAGAATATTATTAAAAACGGTTTTTTTTAAAAAAAAACCAATAAAATTTCAAATACCAATACAAAATTTCATTACCGAAGCGATTTTCATTTAGATAGAAGAATAATTAATAGAAAAACCGCGTGGCTACGACGACCGACGGTGCGGATGACGATATCAACGAAATTTTCTTTTACCGCCGGTCCTCCTTAAATTATCTCGTGCATCAAGATGTTTCCGTTAGAAATATCCTTAGAAATATCCTCCAAAATATCCCACGGTAAAAATAACTCCGTTTAAAACACCCCCGTTAGAAATGCCCTTATTTAAAATATCATTCATATTATATATAACTCTAAACAGTATATTTTGAAATATAAATACAAAAAAATAAATTATAACAGAGTTATAATACGATAAACGATAATATTCTTATTTCCGTGATAAAACTAAAATAATTATTATACTCGTACTATAAACGTACTTTAGATTTATAATAATATTTAGTTCGATGCATTTACGTTCACGCATTTATTTGTGCCGTGTCGTCTGTTCACATAATTTTTGGATACTATGTCAAATTTTGTATTTTTGTTAATATAGCTTAAAAGGTAAAAATTTACTTGCACACTGCGACATATTTTAAATGGGATTTTTGTTTAATACGGGATATTTTGAACGAGTGAAATGAAATATCACTGGATATTTTGACGGAACACCGTTATCGATTTCTTTTTATATATGAGGTGCCTTCGCAGTCGCTACGACGTCGATGGTCTGATGAAAAAATCAACAAATAGTCACAAACCTTTAATTATATAGAAAAAAATTGCGCACCAAACTAGTGTGGATGAAGCGGATATTTACGCTGGTGAAGCAAATTTTAACGCATAACTGTTATTAATTATGAAAGCAGCGAAATTTCGTAAAGTTTCAAGTAGGACTATAGTAGATTAGAGAGCCTACATAATAAACCGTAATTAATATAATATAACTGTGCTCTTAACATAGTTACATGGATCGCATCATCTTGGAACTACGCAATATATAACTAAATATAGCCGTGGCGACTAATTGAACTGTTATA